ACTAGTTTCTGGCAACAGTGCTGACTGGTCAGGAGCACCACAAAGGAGTTACATGCCAGACAAGAGGAACAGGAGAAACACTAGGGCAGGAATTTCAAATGGAAGGAAATGTTGTATTTCAAACAGACTCTAGACAGCAACCTGCCAGTACTGCAGCCCTCAAGGGTCAGTCCTACAGAGAATGAGGACATCTAAAGAAAACCCAAGGCAAAACTGTCTCTCTGTTATCTGAGAACATCCACAATGCTGCCGACAGTAGTCCTGTGCAGAAATAATGTACACCTGTGAAAAAACACAAAGAGTCGGCAAATACAGATAGCAGGTTCACTTGCTGGCTCGGACAGCATCTGAAGAAAGAACTATTTAAAAACACAAGAGGTGGTGTTATAATGAGGAAACCATGGAGAGCAGAAAGCTTATGATTATTGACAGAAGTTGATTAAGAAATGGATTATTGTCTGTTAGGATGTTGGAATATCTACTGCTACCATTATCCTACGTATGTTTATGTAAATTTCCTTTAATTGAGGTATTCATTTACAATCATTATTTTCATTGGTAATGTGCTTTATTTGCATTTGAAAGCAAAAAGAGGAAAAAAATTAAACACAACTGGCTGACCCCTACCATGTGAGAAAGGGTTTGCTTTTTGTCACTCTGACCCAAATGGATTAGGGCCAGGAAATAAAGGTCAAGCTCTTACCAGTACCCCCATGTGTCACATTTTTATTACATGGAGTTTCCAAGAAAAATATTCCAATTTGCGTCAGTAATTATTCGTTCTTTATGCATTATCATGTCAGTTTCTGAGTTTATTTTGAATTCAGAAATTACCTTTGAGTGCCAGGCCTATTAAAAAACAACCCTTTGTGAAATACCCTTCAGCAGTTAGATGTGATAGATTTTGTAGCTGTACATGCTCTTTTTTCCCTTTTAAGAATTTCTCCTTCTACAGCAGTCCCCCCATCACTCGAGCCATAAACCACCAAGACTGTGGTTGGATTATGCTCCTTTGTGGATTTGCAAGTTGCTGCCTTAGTTAGATGTCTAAGGACTGTAATTGCTAAAGCAGTGCACAGGGCAGGTAGGGCTGGAGCCACTCTCTGTGTGCTGTTGGACAGCACGAGGTACAAGCATGCAGCACTGTACCCTGCGTGCTCCTCCAACACTGACCACAGCAAGAAGCCTGACGTCAGGCTTTAGCCACCAGCCACACCAGAGAGCTCTCTGTCCTGTGGGAATTAGTCTGGGGCAGTGCTGCACCTTTCTAAGAGAGGAGGTAGAAAGGTGAGGGTCCCCTCCAGCCCCACCATATTGCAGTGGGGAGACATCTAGGGGTGCCAGGGGTTCCATGGGCACAGCTACAGCTCTGGATGCAGGGCTCCAAAGATAAGCTTTTAAAGAAGTTTCTGGTTTCACAATTTTAATGATAACTTTTTAATCTGGTCATTATTTTCTTTGATTGCTAATACCTTGACCTCTGGTGACAGCTGCTGCTTATGCCTGCTAAACTTTAATGCAGGCTACAGTAAAGAACATTATGATTATTTGAAAAGGCAGAGTGTAATGCATTTCAGATTAACAGTGAAAGAAAAGCTATTGAAGTTAGAGGTTCACTTTGCCATATCACTCTATGCTGCTTTCCTTATTATCAGTACAAAAAATGAAATGAGAATAGCACATCTTTTAATTTCCTTCTACTATTACCTCTTGATTTGCATTCAGAGCTCCCAGAAGAAATACTGCTGAATTCAGAAGCAGTCTATTTAAGCTGCATGGTGTTTAAAAATTGCTGGAAGAGGTTAAGGTGCTCTATATTATGCAGTTGACCTTACTAAGAAGCTGTGTTAACAATTTAGATTTATAATTTTGTTAATTTTTTTTTCCCAAGCAAAATTCATTACCTCTTTTTGTACCCCTGAAGGTTAAATCTTTTTATTTCACTCTAACTTATTTTGTAAAATTTCTAAATTATATTTAAACTTCTTGTACTTAAAAGGTTGCTTTGCCAGTGCCTCTGAAAAGAGGCATTTTGTTTCTGTCTCTCTTTGTACCTGGTCTGAAGAGACTGTGTGCCCTCACAATATTTTACCTAAGAAGAAAGAACCCAAACCCTCCATCTGCAGAGCCCTGCAAATACATTTGAATTCTTTTATCTGTCACTATTATATCTTTGTGGCTGACTGGGTTTGAACAAGATGTCCATGGAAAATATTTTTAATCCTGCCTTTACCAAACAGTTGCAGCCTCCTGGTGTACAGGATTCAAGCTTCCCTGGATTTAACCTTTCTTCCCTGCTTTTGTCAGCACTGTGCCTGGTCATTGAGAAAAAGAAGAAATCCTAACAAATTAACAATTGTGAAATGTGCCAGGGTAGGGAGTGCTGTACCCTGTGACTCTTTAGGCTCCGCTGCCCTAAACAGAGTTTGTGTTCTCTACTGCCGCCTTAGCAAAACAAGGCTAATGGTGGAGCCCTGTAATGCAGAACATTTTCCAAAATGCCCAAGGTGTCGCCCCCCTGGCTCAGTGGTGCCCAGCAGTGGATATTTATTATGGACACTGCCTCCTGGTCATATCTCATCTGAAAACTCATACTACAGTTAGGACTCTGTTAGTAAATAAAACAGGACCAGGAGCTCTGGGCCCTGAGGCCAAGCAGCAGGGACCAGCCATATCAGCACTGTATGGCACTGTATGACCCTCAGGCATAATCATCCTGATTAGGATTTAGAACAGGTTTATGTTTCTTTAGCCTGCAGTGTTGCAGTGAGGTGGGGGCTGTGCTGTAGTGTTTGTGCTGTTTATGCAAGTGGGTGTGATGGAGGTGCAGAGCACCTTGGGTCCCACTGGAGGACTGTGGGGGCGGGACAGAGGCAGGACAGACAGCTCTGTAGTTTCCCCTGGAAACAGCCTGGCTGCATGATCCCCCAGAAGGAATGGCTGGACACTCTCCTGCAGAGGTAGCTGGCATGGGCCAAAACCAGACCAAGTGGTGCACCTAAACCAGGATGGGCCATGAGCAGAGTGGTGCTGGGGACTGCCCTGCTCCCTGCAGCCAGGCCTGCAGAGCCGTCGCAGAGTCAGCAGCAAGGCGGTGCCCTCAGTGAAGCACGAACAAGCTGGGACTTGCAGCTGCGAGCACAGGGTGAAGTCAGGATGGATGTTTTGACATTTCAATGTTTCTCGAGTTCCTATTCATTCTCCACTCTAGTGCAACAGTCGCTTAGGCTTCCTACAGCTAGAGCAATATATTGGCAGCTGCCTTCCTGTTGTAAAGTCAACACAGGGAGCTAGGGAAGCCCAGGATAGACCCTAGAGCCAGAAGGTAGTTTTATTCATCTAATCTCTAGGTATTTAGACAGTGATTAGAACCATAGCAACTATCTGAGCCACTTGAATTAGTTAGATACAGAGATAGCAACACTTGTTATTTATACAGCACCCTTTATTGGAAAATTAAAAAATGTCAGATACCTGTTTCATTGAGTAGGTAAACTGCATTCATTTGTTGACATGGAGGTGCCATGAAACCTCTCTGTATCACAGGGATACAACTACACGATAGAGACTGTTGGCAACAAATAAGTAAAACAGTTAGAAGTTCTAAAGAAAAAAAAAGAATAAACCTAGGGGATAAAAACATACTGAACAGATGAAGAATTAGTCTACATGCAGAGCCAAGCCAAAACTTGGCAGCTTTATAAACCAGCTAACATAGAAATAAATGAAAGTCCAAACAATAGGAACAAACCTGGAACAAATAAAATAACGAACTCAGAAATGTTACCAATTGATTGCAAAGATAAAAATGCCTGTTGCGTTCATTGTATCCCTGTAGTTTATTCTACTGCATACTTTGCTTCTGGGAAGATTCTGTATCTGAAAAAGCCATATGAAGTATATTCATTGAACAGCAGAAATAGAAATAAATATTTCTCACTTGAAATGACAAGACACAAATTTGTCTCTATATTATTAGCTGGTTTTCCTCTGAATCATCTTGAACTTCTATCAGACAGCAAAGTTAAAGTAAATTATTTCATCATGCTGCAGAATATTTCTTAACTGTGTAATTCTTTCCTTTGCAGAATGCAGGTACCAAGCAGATTGTGGTTCTGTGTCAGCATTTCCCCACTGACTCTCAACTTTTGCAGAATTTGTTTTGACTAAAAGAATGTAATTATTTTTATAGATTAAAAAAAATTGTGTTTACTGATTCCACCCAGTCCTGCTCAATGCCAAAAAAAATATGCTCTGTGTCCAAAGCAAAATGTAGACTATATCAATGAGGTAATTTCTGAAGCTTAATTATGAGATAATAGTTGCAACTTCTAATTTCAGGCTTAATCATTTTTATGACATCCAGCTTCACAGCGCAGAACCAGTGTGAATGCAATAGGAAAGACTTTTACCATTTGAACATCGTCATTCCCTTGGCATGCACTTGGCTGCCATCTGGGCTTGCCCAGCAGCAGTACAGCCATCCCCAGGAGCATTCAGGAGGGGAAAGGGCACATGCCAGACCACCCCTCCCTTCATGGCTGCAGGCCCTGAGAGACCTCCCCGTGGTCATTGAACCCAGAGGTCTCTCAAGTGCCCTGTTAGCCAAGGTCTTGAGTTTGCTAACCTGAGGTAAAATCCTGCCCAAGATAAGATAGCGTGTAGTGCTCACATTAGTGACTGAGCAGGACAAATTAGTTAGCTAAAATTAAGAATATATCCCTTCTTTATTTAAACCCTTCCAATTTAAATGTTTTCTCCTGAGAAACAAATGAGCTAATGAGACAGTGGTGTTGCGTCACTGCCTGACTGTCATCCCCGTGGCAGGGATGGATCTGACTGGCTTTAATCTCATCGTCCATCTCTCAGTGCACAAAGGCCAACTGCGGGTTTGAGGCCCAGCAAATGACAAGCCAAGTTTGATATATCAGCCAATTAGTAGCATGGGTATTTATGCAGGAATGAAGCTGAAAGTGCAAATAAGGCCAGTGACTAAACCCTTCCAGCAATTACATTTAATAAGGTACTGCATGTTATTTACAGAAAAGATAGATCACACAACTTCTACATGTAAATGCTCAGAGTGTGAAGACAAAAGCTGTACTCTCATAACATGCTAAAAATAAATAAACCAGAATTATTTTGGCACAATAACTATTACATAAATAAATATTCTAGAACATAATGAATTGACATTTATTTACAGTCTATTGAAAGTGCAAACAATTGGCTGAAAATTAAAATATTTGTAAATGTGTAAGACCAGAAGATGTGTTAACCAGCCAAGATTAATTCTAGCTGAAGTTTAAGGTTTTAATGTCCAGGAAAATATTCTCTTGAAATCCATTTGTGCATATTGTGCTCTTTTTGAACCAGTCCTTAGCTACCTTTAATGCTATTGATTTTGATGACCTTACTTTTTAACTGAATTTTGTAAAAACCTGATTGGTAATTTAAAAAGAAGGAAGTAAAATGTAAACACTGATTAATCTATTTATCATTCAAATATTTTCAGTCCTGTCAATTTTCTGAAATGGCCACACTGCTTGTAGTAGTAGACAGTATGATTAAGACTAGGAATTTTTCTTAGTATTTGTTTGATTTAAAATGGAAATATTTGTAAGTCTTCTCTGAATGGAACTGTACCTTGGACCACTCTTGAACCTACATTATTTCATCAGATCCTTACATCCATCTTCTGCTGAGGTCAAGAGCAGCTGAGCAAGCTAAACTGACAATCAGTTTTGGTCCTGACCTGAAGCATAAATCATAAAATACAGATTCTTAATTAAGGGAGAAGAATCCACTACCTACCTTAGAACTGTTGTAAGTTTTTGTGCATGTCCCACTAACTATTCTATCTTTTGCCTTTTTTAAAATCTGTATGAGATATCACTTACTACACTTCAAGATGAATTAACAGTTCACAACATGGCCACTCATACACCTACAGTGCATAAATTCTTCCTCAGCCAAAGTTCTTCAGCAGACTGGTATATTGTGCGTTGCCCAAGACCTTATGGTATGTTTTTGCTTATTTTTGTAGTGGCAGTGCAGTAGCAGAGAAAGTGAAGTTCTTAACAAGTGACCTTGAGAGGATAAAAGATCGTTTCTCATCATTGCTTCAAATGTTTATGCTCGGCGCGGTTCCAGTCGGTGAGACATCTGTGATAAAGTTCTCTGGTTGTCAATCACATTTAATTGCCGCACGTAGCTCCGAACATCCTGATGGTTTTTATTAGTTAGGGCTGCATCGGGATCTGGTGAAAGAGAAATGATGTAGGATTGATACACGTAAATGGACAAATGCCTGAACAAAATGCACAACTCCTTACCAGCTGTCACAGGAAAGACTAGATCCTGGCGAGTTAAAAAGGAAATATTTAGAAATTGCTCTCTTGGAAACCTTTTCTCCGTATCTGATGGTCTTTCTGGTTACTACCCCCACAAATTAACTTTTCTTTTGGACATCCTTGGCTACATTTACTAAAATTGATGGCCCTTGGTTACAGTTTGACACCTCACCTTATGCAGTCATTAGCTATACATTATACAGCTAACAAGTACAATTTAAAGCTGCTCATTTGCTTTTGAACCAGGAACTTTCACAGATTCAAAATGTAATTGATTTCAGCTTCTTTTCATGCAATATTCTCATTTTAAATATTTGTATCAATGTAGTGCTTAGTGGCTGCCCCATTCAAGCCTCAGAATTTACTACCTGTTTACATTTCTTAACCACATTATACTTACTCCAGCAGCAGTTATGGAATACTACTGAGTCAAATTCTAAGTATCTTCAGCCCCATAGGAACAGCTTACAGTGTAATGTAATATGTGTTAGGTAATTTAAATTCAACTAAAAAATGATACTGAGGCATCTACATTACATTACACATGCACACACACAAAAACCATGGAATTTAGATCCAGTAGATCAATATACTGACATTTTGTTATATCATATATAATGAAAATCTGCTTCCATTTCTAAGTATGTGGAGGTCTCACTCATGCTTAATACATCAAAATTAAAGACACAAAGCCAGGAAGACCTGGATTGTGGAGGAAAAAAAAAATCTTTCTTAATTTCTAATGTTCTACAGAAATTTCTACAGATCTACAGTTAAGCTTTGACTCATATGGAAATAAACTATTTTTATAAAAATATAGTTTTATATTAGTTATTCTGTTGTTTGAGAAAGAGGAAGGGTACTGTGAGTCAAAATGGATGAAGTGCTGAGGAAATGTGCATGTGACTGAGACTGACAGTGCAGCTCGATGGGATGAGACCCACAGAGAAGCCTGTTTGACCATATATATAGTTCTGTCATCTTACATGGCCTCAAGAAGTTCTGGTAATTATACTGACAAACAGGTTTTAAATTCACTGCCTTATGCAGTTATGTCATTTATAAAGGTCATGTCTCCAGACTGGTTTCATATTAAAACAGCATTTATCCAAGCAAGTATTTGTGTGCTGCTGCCTGCTAGACTTATTTCAACCACTTCTGAATCCAGTGTCTAATTTCAACTGGCTCTAATCTGACAGATGGGTAGAGACCTCACAGATATTTACATGCATGGAAAAGAGATAGAGGAGAAGGGGTTTATTAGAGCTTCCTGAAGGATATTTCGCCCTGTGAAACATCACAGGATCCAAACATGGAAGAATCGCTGGAAAGCAGGCTCTTGAGTTCTGGTACACACAGAATTAGTTGTAATTACTGTAGCTACTGATGATAATGCTGACAGTACAGATGTTGTAACACACTTACTGAAAGATTGGCTTCGGCAGAATTTCACTGTCCTGACAGTGTTGGCAATCATGCGCTGGAAGGAAAAGATGGGATGCAATCAGAGAACAAGCACTGTATTTCATCAGCATTCAAACGAAGCACCTCTGTGCCTGAGTGTGAAGACACATGCCAATAAAGGCAGTCATATGAATGAAAATATAATTTTAATGCTGCTACTTTAATGTATAGAGTGTGATTTGCATTTACACAGGCTTTAAATAAGCATGAGTATAATTTACATGCACTCAGAGAACTCTTTCCCTTGCTTGAATGCTGTAAAAGGCCCTAAGTAAGAATGAAAATCAGCCCCTTCAATGTGCATTTCTTTGATAACATCTTACCACATTAAAAAGTAAAAGGAATACCATGGTGTATATACACATTAATTTAAAGACTATCAGCTCCTAACAGCAAGGCCATTTCTAGAATATATTCAGCAATTAAAGAGCTTTCACCTTTTATACAAACTTGAGTTTAAAATGCATTCTCCTGGAAGCTGACAGTGTAAATAAGCACATGAGGGTGATTCCACTGGCAGAATGCTCGGTTCACAGGTGAGAAGGCCACTGTCAGTACCGTGGCCTGCAGCCAAGTTTCATAAACAGACCTGTTACACAGTGTTACTTTGACCTGTTACACAGTGTTACTTTGCACAAGTATATCTAACTCAACCCGAAAAGTGGATTCACTTTTGGTGGACCCTTCTACTGACAGTTCACCAAAAAAAAGCAGAAGTCACTTCAGTCCTTCTTGGCTGTGCTTCCTCTTCAGCAAAAAAACCCCCATCATTTCATTCAATTCAGTTTCAATCAATACACTTGCTGTGATAAACCAGATGTTATTTTACAATAGATTTTTAAGAAAATAAATTAAGGTTAGTCATACAGCAAAACATTAGTTCTGGACTGTAGAATTTTAACTGATTTCTGTGATTAGCACCACAGAAATAATATACCCACCAGTATGGGGCAGAATTAGTTGTTCTACATAATGTCAAATAAACTGAAATTTCAGCAGTTAGCTAAATAGTTTGATTCAATCCCTGTAATAAGGACATTTGTTTCAGTTTCTTTTGCTTAAAAAAAGTAGAGGGAGGAAATGCTACTCCCTATCAGACTCTAATGTCTGTGTTCCAACACAGTGACATCTTCTAACACAGCCACTCTCACCAGGCTGCTTCATACATTATGGAAATTTTGTGTGAGATTAACAAGCTAGTTAGCCATAAGCTCTCACAAAATAGAATTATATATCTCTTACTAGTGAACAAGAAAGCCTGGGGCATATGCTCCTCTAAATTCATTATAACCTTAAATGAAATCACAATTATAATCTTAAATGAAAATGTTACAAATTAACTAAGCTTGTGGAATCTCTCATTCCAGAATGGGAAGCACCAATGTAAGACATTCCTTACACAACCAATGGATAATCTCACACAGTTTAATGTACTATCAAGCATACAAAAATGCGTCGGTTGGTCAGCGTAAGAAACGCTACTGATATATGAGGGCCTAAATGTTTGTGGATAACACCTTGTATTAGCAAATGAAACTGATCTAAAATATGTTATTTCTAAAACACATTTTCCCAAAAGATCTAGGGAAGCCAGATCTGGATCTGCTTATGTTATTCCTAAAGTTATATGTATCTACATGTATAATTCAAGTAAGTGTAAATTTTATCCTAATGTAATTTTCATACCTCTTCAAGCCACTATTACTATGCAGATTGTCTAGGGCCCTTACCTTGCAAACATCCTCACAGGTGCTTAGCATTAAGCATGTGAATAAACTCCACTGACTTCAATGGAACCTCTTAAATACTCAAGGTAACTGGGCTGAGACAGAACACACTGCATGGAAGAGTGTCTGTTTTTCACTCTAACCCAGTCAAATATAAGTCAAAACAACACAAGCATATAAAAATGACTGTTTCACACTTCTGTGGCTTCATATGTGGCTCTGTTATGTGATGCTGCTATTTTGATTTATACCAGTTCAAAAAATACTCATCTACAATAACTGTTTCAAGGAGAGATCATAAAGCTGAACTGCACCAGCCAACACAATGAAGTTTCAAGACTGTCTGCCTTCAAAGGAAGCTTTGCTAAGAACACTTCATTTTCAGGAAGATACCTAGTTTTGTTTGATGTGCTTTCTAGATGGATTGTTAATACATACCCTAATTTTTCATACCCATAAGTATTTAGGTTTTGAAGCCTCATCTCATAATAATCCTTGGAGTTGTTATTATTTAGTTTCGTACGTGAAAACTTAGATTTATCCAAAAAAGTGTTCTTTGGAATAATTTTACTCTTTTTTCTCTTGTGGTGAGTTTGTTCTCAAAAAAAGCAGAACATCCAGAATAAATACTGTAATGCAGTACTGTACTGAAAGAAAAATTATGGGTATGTAGTGAAGGTTTTTAAAAAAAGTTTTTGCTATTTTCAAATTTGCCATTATGTGGCCTCTTCTAGGCAAGGAAAAATAGAAGTGGCAATGGACTTGTCTGACTTCTGGTTAAAGGCTGAACTGCCTGGCTTCCTTCAGTTGGCTGAAAGACTTCATTTTAAAGGGTTCCTTTGCCTTTTCCTGAGGATGATGTGATTCTATCTGTGCATTCAGAATTATCCTGGCAATGATGAAATACAAACCAATGAGGAACTGAGTGTTAAGGCTGAATAAATGTGGCCCAAAGACAGCATCACAAGCCAATGGGGAGATTCTGAAGCATTATGTATCTTTGAAGAGCTCTTTTCACACTATTTTTTTCCAAGTGTTGTGCTACGGTCTCATAATGTCTAAGCTCCTAACAGTTCCTTTTTGTAAGGTACAAAGTGAACAGAAAAACAGGTTATGAAACAAAGTGAAATTTCCATTCCCAAATCTCATAGATAAGTTAGATTGTCTTCTTTTGATGCAAGAAAACTAGAAACATGGACAGAAAAAATGTTCAGATGGAAGTTTAATTGCCTGCTCCTTACAGTTTTTCTTCAAATAGAGGAATACCTCTAGTCAATGCCTGCAAAGATTAACCTCTGTTTACTCACAGTGCTAAGCAAGACCACTATCAAAAAGCCATACAAACCTAAATTTGGATCTTTCTGAAACAGAACCAACTGCATAATATAATAAATAATGGCTACTACCAGCATGCTGTGTATACACAACAATACCCTTTCAAGTTTTACAGTTTGGAATTGTGGCAGCAGGCCAGCACATTATCTTCAAATCCATTCCAAACCCAGGTTGCTAAATATTATAAATATTCATATAAGCTATTGAAAACTACTAAGGGCATTAGTCACACACTTTTTGCATAATCTTTATGTTCCAAAAATTAAAGAATGTTTGCCCCCTTTTTTTGCATATGGATAAGAGTGTGAATTTCCTTTTGTTCATCTCCACAAAACCTGAAAACAAATATGCACAAATTCTCTAATCCTATTTTCTCACCTGAAGGGTGAAGAGGCTTGACAAAAAGAAGTATTAGTGGTCAGCACCATGACACTGTCTTGCGCTGCCATGGCAGGTCAGCACTTCCAGAGCTTTTTCCTGACTTCTGCTCCCTCTACAGGTGTTATTCCTGAGATAATGCTGGGTAATGTCATATGGACAAGTTGCCACAGTAAGTAATCTTTGTTCAGGCTCTCTGATGATTTCAGAAATGGCACTGATAAAGTTCCTAATTAATTGAATCTTCCCTTTGTCTATGAATACAAAATTCTGTACTGACAGTCAGAGTGCAATTAGGCAGCTGAGGCTTGAAAGAAAAAAATCAGTAAGTGGTCAAGAGTATGAAATATTGCCTGTTCCTAAGGAAAGTCATGCTCAGTACTTTCCTCACTTTCCTCTCTCTTCTTTCCCTGCCAAGACCTAATTCTAGGAAAGCACTTACAAATTTTTTCTAAATATTTAGTTATAAAAGCAGTGTCACTTAAATGGTGTATATTGCCATGTGCCTTCCAAACTAAAACTACAGTATTTAAAAAGCTTTAAAAGTTTTGCTCCTCTGTAATAAATATGCCTTCAGTTATTACATAGACGAGTCTTCTGAAGGCCCATTTACAACTAACATGTACTATCAAGTCACCAGGGGAGAAGAGATGTAGGTGGTTTGGTATCATGTCATGTATGCCAAACTAGAATGTATATCTGAGCAACACCATGGTGGAAACAGCTTCTTGCAGTGAGATAAGTAAAAGACATTCAATACTTCTCTTAAACCATGTCTTGTTTGCTATTGAAGACAAAGCCTTACACTACAATGATCAGTAATTTAGTAATTTAGCCTACTTATTGACAAATGTATAAATAACATTTTTCAGGCTGGATTTTAAGGCTTCATGCAATGGCATGAGTAAAGAGCACAAACACAGTGCAAATACAAAGACTAAGAGCATACCTATTTCTGACATGTTCAGTACTGTTTACCCACAACTTGTATAAACCAAATGGGTCTGTTTACAAACTTCCCTCTTTACCCATAGCTGTGATTTTGCCACATGTGGTTACTCTCTTCCCTGGCTAGGTGTCCCTGTCCTCCCACTCCTCACAGCCTCCTCCAGATAAGGCATCTGTGGGGATCAGAAGATGGGGAAGGGGCAGAAAGAGCAGGCAGTCACAAAGCCAGCAGCAGGTAAAGCTCAGCAATGCTCTGCAGAGTCATGTCCCCTTACTACTGCCAATACCACAGTTCTGTCACTCCACCACTGAAAAGATCAATATATAGGAAAGAGTAGCAGGAAAAAATTGACTCAGTCTTTTTCTTTGTTAGCTTGAGTTGCTAAAAAAGACTAGGCTAATGTGGCTCAACACCATCTGTCTGTTTTCCCCTTCTTCTCTAGATAATTTTGTTCAATTTGAAAAAAGAACCCAGAGTTTTCAAACATAAGAAAGCTCCTACCAATTTTCTGTGAAAACAGATGGCTGTGGACAAGAGAAAGATTGTGTAAGTGCCCTCCTGTCTCCTTCAGGAAAAAGGCTGTAGTGCAAGTTCCTATGTTATGACAAAAGCCTATTCACACAGAATTCCCCAGCCATGAAGAAACAACACATGCCCCAGCCACAAGGAGAGATCTGAGCAGAGCTCAAGCAGCCATGAAACACAAATGTTTAGGAAACCAGGCCTTGCTGTTTCTGGCACTCAGGGAGCTCTGGGCTCAGACACTGCCTGACAGCTTCTGCATGTTTTAAGATGCATCATTTAATATAAATAATAACAAAAACATTGCAAAACAGGAAAGATTTAAAAGAAGCTGTTTCAGCTGAAGAGATGCCACTAGATCAAACTTCTACTTTTGGCTGCCAGTTACAGGAATAAAGTTGTCAGCAGCACATCAGCTGTCGGGATCAGGGCTCTGTGGTGAGAATGCAGACGTGATGCCAGAGGCTGTTCTCAGTTTCATCACTGTGCTTACATGGGAGTCGGAGGGACCCACCTCCTCCAGTGGCAAGTGGCACCACCAGTGGCAACTACCCAGTTATTTTTATTCATAAACTTCAGCAAGCATAAAAGGAAACAATCTTCCAAAGAACCAAGATATTTCAGAAACATCACAGTAAGAGTGGCTCCCAGCAATACTCTAAGGAATCTCCATCTGCTTATGACAGAACATCATGTAGCAGAACAAACAGACAGCAACAACAAATGGCAGGACATGATTCCTGTGAAAAATCTGGTTCCTATTTTTCTCCTAAAAATGGCGGAGTAACATCACAAAAACACCTTGGGCTTATACTTATTTAAAAGAGAGGAGAATTTACCTGAGAGTTATCTGACTGAGTGGTCTTGTCTTCACAGTTTAATATCTGGCAATTATGTGTGGATATGACAGTTTTAAGCTTAACGCAAGTAGGCGGCAGCGACTGAGGTTTAACAGTGGGCTTTTCTTCTTTGCTTGACCTGATGACACATGCAAAAAGCTAAAAACTGCCAGGTCCACAGTAGGATTTGAACGAATTATGTGGGTGGAATTTGAATACAGGTTGCTCTGAACAGCTACGGGTTGAGAAAGGCAGTAAAAGCACCTAGAAGCATGCAGAAGAGCTAGTGAAGAACAATAAAGAGACGAAAGATATACTTGCAGTAAGGCTTGGAGAAAAAGCAGAGTGAGCTTTTAGGTAGAATACCAACCAAAGAAAGGCTTAGAATACTAAAAAAGGAGAATGTTTCCCTTTCTGGTGAGTTGAGGAACATGAGACATAATACTGATTCCGTAAAAAATATGCAGCATCAAAAATGCACTAACTGATCTTCACATTCCTCTCCTAAAGAAAATTATCAAAACTCAGATTACTGGTACTACATTCTTGCAGTATAAAACATTATTTAAAACTTTTCAGTGCTACCAGTAAACTCTTTTTCTGGGGGTAACATTCTTTTGAAGATAAGACAATGTGCAGACTAAGGTAAAGAGGGCAGACCTGCAGCAACTTAGATATAGATCAGTTTAAGCTGCTATAAAATTCACCCTTGGCCTTGCGAGTGCCAAAATGTGGTACAGAGTGGTGCAGAACTATTCTTAAATGACAAGCCTCTGTTGAACCTCTGTCTATGGGAAGTGCTTACAGGAGGACTCCTCCCTCCTGTAGTGGCTTTCACACAAAATGAGGCATAAAGAGCTTGAAGCACAGAGCTCTGAGGCCAGTGGATGTACTGGCTCTTCTGGCTCAGGAGGTGTAAACAGGCCAAGTGAGGTGGAGATGATGGAGCCAGGCACAGAACCATGGCTATAGCAATGCAGCTGCCATCCATTCTGGTTTGGAGGTGTTCCAAGCAAGTCTGAGATCCCTTTTGTGTTCCCCAAAGTATTTACTATCTATACTATACCTAATTAAATTCTATACCTAATTAAAACAGGCAGTGCAGAAAAAAAGTCCTTTTCTGCAGGTAGAATGCTCAAGGCCTTTGGAAGGAGATGGCAACACAGTCTGCATATGCAATTACAGAATGCCATTATTGCAAAGTGAGGTCAGGCCCTTACTCAGGCATTAGCACTGCCATTTACTTACAAAATGTCTCATCTTAGTGAAGGGGTATTTTCAACCAAGGACAGAGGCTGTCCTGGAGCTACAGATTAAAATCTAAGAGATTTCACTCAGAGTGATGATCACTTTTCTGTGAAGTCTTTTAAAGAGCTTAAAGTACTCCTTTTTTCCCCTCTGCAGTTATCAGCGCTCAGAGGGTCAGACAAACGCCTCCACAGTGCAGTGGAAATAACTGGAGTTATGTAACTCCAGTGGAATGGAGTGGTTCTGATTACTGTACTACTAAGAACAAGCACATGTAGGTGCCAGAGGAAATATGCTCTAGCATGGCTGCTGAATGGCTGAGAGGAAACGGCCTCAAGTTGTGCCAGGGGAGGTTTAGATTGGATGTGAGAAAAAATTTCTTCACTTTGAGGGTGGTCAGGCATTGGAATAGGCTGCCCAGGAAGGTGGTGGAATCACTATGCCTGGAAGTGTTCAAAGAGGACGTGGATGTGGTACTCAGGGACAAAGTTTACCGGGGAACCCAGTGGTGCTGGGCTAAGAGTTGGATTCAGGGATCTTGGAGATCTTTTCCAACCTTAGTGATCCTGTGATTCTACTACTGACTGCCAGAGCAGTAAGTCAGGTTTGGTTTTCCTATGCAGATGCCATAGCTGGGATTGGCTAATGCAGGTTCTCAGATCCAGGTGTCATTAACCACACTAATGAGGAACATGACCCTAGCAACCAAGAAAATGTCTTCTCACTGCTGAGAAACTCAAGTTTCAGTTGAGACTTCTGCTATGGAAAGTTGCCTGCCTGCAGTTTTTGACAATGGTGTTTGAAATTATAACAGCTTTTGTGCAGGACTTATATCAGATTTGAGCATGTTCTAGCCTTTTATCATTGATTCTCCTTTCCAGTAGGAAAGCAATCAAGCCACAGACATCTCCTTTCATTAGTGAAGGGAAAGAAGAAATATATGTTGTGCAAGTTCTTTGCAATGCTTTTTTCATTCTCCAAGGAGCAATGCAGAACTATCCCAGCCTGAGGCAGTTCAGGCCTGTTTGAAGGAACAGCATTAAAAATCACAGGTTGGTCCCACACTGTTAAAAAGTGTCTCTAACAGCTCTGCTTCCTGTCCCTGATGCTCCCTCTCCTAGGAAACATTTTGGCTGTGCATGGCTCAGTTTATTCTCCACCTCTGTGAGGTTTTCCAGAAAACCAGAGGCCCCAGGCTCTGTGTACAATGCAGGCTATTTTTGCCAGGTCTTGGTCCTGCCTTCATTCTCCCTAGCCCTGAAAGTCACTGTTGAGAAGTTCACTCTTGAAGAGGTGAATAGGGAGGTATTTTTAAGTTTCCTTTCAAATATGTCATACATACCATTTTTTCGAAGTTTACTAGATTGTCAGTGAATGTCTTGTTTCCCTCATGAGTAAACGTCATGTCTGTATAGAAATAAAAAACACATAAAAGCCCATTTCTGAATCATGACCATACAAAATAGCAGAATGTTTTATCTACCCTTACAAAAATTGTAGCAGCTGTAAAGTAAAAAATTTAGGTTTTAATGTGCAGCATTTTTAAGTAATAAAATTGAGGTATGATATTCAGATGTACAAAAGCAGTTTGTCTTGTCTCTGTATCGTGCTTTTCATAATGGAAAAAGATCATACCTCACACTGAGATTGATTTTTGCTTTTTCTTGCTGCTACTCTTATCCTTCAGATATTTGACAAATAGCTCTCAAGTTAATAATTCTGGTAACATCCAAGCTTACCTTTAATAAGCAGTGGCATGAAAGGAATTATTGGAGGGTCCAATTTAGCTACAGTCAGTCTGTAGGCCCTATGGTTTCTTGATGGATCCTTACAAAAAAAGAGAAATCAAATAATTACTAATATGTATTATTATATGTATCAAGACACTATATACATTAATTTAGATGTCATGGTATTTATTAAAAACATTATTTTTTTCCTGTGACTTTAAAAGTGCATCTGCAAATTCAGACACCTTTTATCATTCTCCCCAACTGGTTACACAATGAGAATGCAACCACTAAACACAAACATTTTTTCATGCCAAATACCTAGGTTAGATATGATTACAAAAACATTCTTCATAAAAGAAACCATATATTTTTTCATCCCTCCTTACAGCTGCAGATCCAGTTTTTCATATGTTGTAGCAGTAAAATGTATTGCCTGGAAAAATCCAGGTTGAAAAATAGCATTTCCCATATGTACTATTGGAAAACAAGTGATAAAGCTTTTCTGAGTTCCCAGATTAACTTTGAGTGGTACATAAGTTCTCCCAGAGTAGGTTCCTAAGAGTATAATTTATTAGTCATACATACTTGTTTTAGCAGCTCTAAAATGGGATCATAAACTTCTTAAAGTCAAACAAGGACATATAAAATGTTCTGAATCAAGGAATTCAAATCAGAAACTGAATTATCTCAGATTGTGCATAGAATAAGGGATCTATTGCTATTCACCATTAAGCTTTCAAACTCTGCATAGATCTTCTTGAACTTGCTTGGGAGTTTCTGTTAATAAAAACAAAAATAGCAAACCTTAATTAAATCTGATCAGTGCAGTAATTTTACTGTAAATGCTAGTTCCTTCTACAACGCCCTAAGTCAGGAAAGTGCTCTTTTTTTGCCAGATATTTCTAACAATGTGCTAATCTAAAATACAACATGTTTCCTAGCAACCAGATTAAAAATAGAGACGGGACCAGCCATGAAACCTGGATCCTGATTTAAACCCTGACTTGAATTTAGTCCTTTGGGATGTTTAGATTCAGATTTTTGTTTGGCTCACATAGCAATCACTGAATTCAGAATGTAAGGGGAAATTCATGTGGATGCTTTCAGGACATCCCTGATTATAGCTATCTGAAAATATAATTTACACCCAGCTTGCACAGGGGCTGATCAGTTTAATTATTCATACCTATGATGAACTGCCCTTGCAAACATTCATATTCAGGCCTGGGCATTTCCAGGTTTTTTTTGCTCATGCTGATGCATTTATTAGTAAAATTCTTGACATGCTCAGCAGCAAAGGTCCTCCATCACTTTCTGGGGTACAAATTAGTGAATATTTTTTCAGTCCACAATACCTACACAAATAAATAATGGTCAGTTGATCATGCAATGATTGAGATGAGATGGGCTTTATTAAACACTCTTTCCCCTCATGCATAGCACGTTACACAGATTAAATAACTTTACTCTAAATACTATAAGATATGTTATAAATTGGTTTCAAAGATCACTGTGATTTTTTTACGTACCATCAGAACATGTCAGTTATTTTTAGTAAGAAATTTCTCTGTATTTGCTGAGTTTTTCAGACTACTATTAGCAGTAGATAACATTAAAAATTAATAGAGACTTTATAGTGCAGAAATTATTTTTTGCAATACTTTCTACATTTGAAGTGTGTACCCTAGCAAGCTATTTACACTGTGCCACAGCAAGGGCCTAATTTTTAATGATGTGTGTCAACAACTGTGTGCCTAGTTTGCATATGCATGCAGATTAGGTATTTGTGAAGTAAGTGGTATAATTGGACATTTGCACCTGCAAATATCTAATTTCTGCATGCAACTAATATAAATGCATGAAATATAAAAAAAAATGAGGTCTTGGTATGTTTGTCTTTAAGTATTTTCTGTATATATCTGGCTAAAAATCAAATTGCAGAAATTCTCTTGTTAAAGCAACTGCTCTACAGAACCAGAGTGTGATAACATTTCCATGATCTCAAGTTAATCCTCCACATGTACAAATGATCTGTGCCCCCTCACCAGCTCAGACTTAGTGCTGATTTCAGATTGCTGTATGTAGTATATACATTGAATTCCTTCTTCTCTAGTCCTGCACTGTCTCAGCTCTCCCAACTCCTCTCAGTAGCCACAAATAAAGGCTCATTATTTTGAGAAAATCTTTGCCTGTAGCACTGATTTGATATGATAAATGTACTTTTGAAAACAGAACTGGTGTACCCTCAGACATGTTAGTCTGATCTCCTGTGTAAGAGCACATTTTTAAAGGTGTTCATATTTTGCTTTCAGTTGCATCAATAACCTCAGTCATGCTAATTATTTTGAATTTCTAATGAACAAAATATGTGCACATTTAAATCTGTACTGCTTTTGATATCCAGTATGTTCTCAGTGGCTACACTGTGCTGGACACTGCACCCTTTTTATACCCTCATACAAAAGAACAAAGCCACAGAAAAAGGTGGAAGCTCTGAGAATGAAGACCAAAATGCCAGTAAGCGTGGAAATGCATGTCAGAGAGAAAACCAGAACTGGTTAGGACAAACCCACATTTTAACAGGGCAACAGAGTCCCTGTGGAGATCAGAAAATAATATGTATAAACAAAGGATGAATTTAAGAGAATTATCAGTGGACTGATCTCACTGAACCACCAGTAAAGTGAAGGCACACAGAGGATGGGCTGACCTAAGAGGTTAGCTGGCTAGCTTGCTCATCCTGTTGGGCAGTTTAGCTCAGCAACAGGAGCCACTGTTGTCACTCTTGTTAACTCCTGTGAGTATTCAGCATGTCCATGGGTGTACTATACTGCCTTACTAATAAATACTGTCAGCCCTAGCTAAGGTTTATGGTCAGGAGCTGAATTAGTAGATCTAGCTTTATCAATAATAAAGGCCCAATTCACATTTTTGCTAACTACAAGCACAAGTCCCCCTCAGGCTTCCTGGAATAGGATTTTAGCAAAGACTTACCTCCCACGTTAATGAGAGACGGCTCACAGCAACATTACTCAGCCCCATAATAATAGCGAAAAAGGAATTCAGATTTTTGTATTCTTTACAGCTGAAACACAAAGGTCCAGGTTTTAAGTTGTATATATCAGTCAGAGCAGTACTTATGACTACCTTAAGAGAGCTGAACCCAGGCATCTAGCACTGAATTTAGGCAGTCCTGGCCAGCATGCCTGCGGACACCTCTTTTCCAATGTGTTAGCACTTCACCACACTCTGCAGGCTTCTTTCCCTTCCCTCCTAAAATGACCTCCCTTCTTTCTACTTCACTGGGTGCCAGCTTCTGCAAGGAATTCTAGTCTTTGAACCAATTCTCCACCCAGAAACACAGTCCTGAAACTGGGCTCAATTCAGTCCCAAGGGATACCAGAAACAGTGTAAACAACTGTTTATAACTTCATTTGCTGCAGAACTTGCTGACAGCTCCTGAACAACTAATGAATGCTTGAAGCTCTCCTTAGGCAATCTTCATTGCAGTTTACAGGGCCACTGAGTCTTTTTAAAGGGAGAAGACCAGCTGTCTAGAGATGCCCCATGCCAGTGACCTCTCCTGCAGTATAGGATTTCTATTCCTTACAGATTCTGGGACGTCTAGTATGTTTCAGGAAAAGAGCAGCCATTTGTTACCAGCTTCATTAAAGAGGTCCTGGGCAAAAGGAGCTCCAGGTCCCACTCCATCTCTAATGCACAGAAGGATTTTGATATCAGGCAGGAAAAACTGTAACATGTAATTGAGTGCTATGGAAGATCCAACATGTCATATGAAGGAGTAGATACAATCTGATGGGCACAGTCAACACAACTGCTCAGCTGGGTCTGCATCAGGGTCTCACTGATTCAATAGGAAGGGAAGAGATAAAACAAAGCCTATCAGAAAAAAACCTCACAAAACTGCATCTCACTGTGTTTTTGCAAATAATCTCTTATTTTTCTCAGCTGATGTGCCAATATCCAATTTCAGTACCTCAGTCTCTGTTTCTTCAGCTGTGAGTGGCTTTCCTTAGGGGTTGGTATTGAGACTGTTGGGGCTTAGCATCTCTGTCAGTGTCATGGCCAGTGGGTTTGAGTGCACCCTCAGCAGGTTTGCTGATGACACCGAGCTGTGTGGCGCAGTTGACACGCTGGATAGAAGGGATGACATCGAGAGAGACTTTGACAGGCTTGAGAGTTGGGGCTGTGTGAACCTCATGAGATTCAACAAGGCCAAGTGTAAAGTCCTGTACCTGAGTTGGGGCAATCCCAAGCACAAACACAGGCTGGCTGAAGAATGGATTGAGAGCAGCCCTGGGGAGAAGTACCTGGGGGTGCTGGTGGACAAGACTCTTACATGAGCTGATAATCTGTGCTTGCAGCCTCAAAAGCCAACGATGTCCTGGGCTGCAGCAAAAGCACCATGGCCAGCAGGCCAAGGGAGGTGGCTCTCCCCTGCTGTTCTTGTGAGGCCCTACCTCCAGAGTTGGGTCCAGCTCTGAGACTCCAACATATGAAGGACATGGATCTGCTGGAGTGAGTGCAAAGGAGGGCACTGATGTGGTGAGACACTGAACAGCCTGCCCAGAGAAGTTGTGGCTGCTCCATTCCTGGAAGGGATCAAGACCAGGTTGGATGGGGCTTTAAGCAACCCGGTCTAGTGGAAGAATGGGCTGTTCCTGCCCATGGCAAGGGGGTTGGAACTTGATGATCTTTACAGTCCTTTCCAAACCAAACTATTCTATGATTCTGTGATTTACCAGGAAAACTTTAACAAGATTCAATCTATGATTCCCATATTTTTAATTCATCATTGAAGCTCTTTGATCCTCTGAGGTATCCTTAGCTTCAGACAAAATTAGTGCAATCATCTCATCCTACTGGACTTCATAATTGCCACATCATCCTATTCTCCACCATCCATACCATTCTATTCTTTCTGTACCTTCATTTTACCAGATTTGGATGTATTGAGTGAGTGAGTCCTTGAGATCTCGGCCTCACTTGTGTCTGCACTGTGTGAATACTGAGCATGTGAATAAATGATCTCTCCCATATGCTGGCTTGTCTGTTGGGAGATTGATGCCCTCTCAGATCTTCTGGCAGAGCTGCTCACACAAATTCTCCCACATCAGATTAGTGACAGTGAGCAAAGGTAGAATGGATAAACTGAAATGCTAAAGCTACACCAACTTAATCTACTAGTACAGGTCAGGGAGTGCCTCATTAGTGGATCTGAGGGGAGATAAAGATGAAAAGCAGGCAGGATAGGCTGTCAGTGATAACCTCTTCCCTAGGCACAAGTAAATCCATAAAGAGATACCTGTCCACAGCCCATGACAGGATTAGGAATAAATTATGTCAGGGTAAAATAATTAGTAACACACAGCACTAGTGCTCAAACAAAGTAGGCAGCTGCAACTGTATCTGCAATATTTAATTTGAATCCATCTTCATATTAAAAAGAAAATATTTTGCCAAATACGCTGTTAAGGAATACAATTTGACAAAGTCCCAGTTAAAATCCATATAGATACATGATGCTCTACCTCAGATATTCAGTAAATTCTACAGGGACTACTATAAATAGCTCAGTTCCAGATAAAGGACCCCTGTAAGGCACTAGACAAAATGCTCCATCGCTCTACTGCATATAAACTCCATGTAAAATGTCAGAAAGTGGATCCTCTAAAGCACCACAAAGCACCACCTCAAAGCAGAGGTCGCTCTGCCTCACAGAATGGACTGTACCAGAAAAATCTTCTTGTTAGGACGAATAGCAAACACACACATACACTCTCTGGTCTCCAAAACAAACGTGTATGTGGTTAAAGTCTCTTCGTACTTACACAAGCATATTCATCTTGCCATTTTCTCTATAAACACACATTTCAGAGATTTCTCACAGGCTCCTTGGGCTTATAACATATGCACATGTACACAAAGAATGATTTTCAAAAACTGAATGAAAGTGTCTGAGTACACTGATACACAAGAAGGCTGCTAAATAGCCTGTGGATATATCTGCAAAGAGGAAATACACACAAACTGCTAAATAGCCTGTGGATATATCTGCAAAGAGGAAATACACACAAACTGCATTTGCAGACATCCATAAGAGTATGTGCAAGCATATCCCAGAAGGACTTTCTTATACAATTAATATGGGAAGAACTCACTGTTGGAAATACAGTTAACTTCTCCCCTTTGTTTGAAAGTTTATTCCTACAATAACTGGAGAAGAGATGAACCTGGTAACCTCTACATCCTTTTCCAGCAGATGCTGAGGTGACATGGCTCCTGGAACTGAAAGCACATGTGCACAGCACTTGGAGCCAGCACTTGGCCTTGTGCTTGCCTGCACAGACTGGGAGCACACATCAAGGGTGCATGGGGTGGCAGACACAAAATGATGTGCCTTCTGCAATGATATCTGCACCTCAAGCCACAGAACTGAAAAAAGCTTCTCAGTAGCAGTTATCTTTGAAAATGAGTACGTGCAAGGCATCTCGTTACCACCAGTCATGCCTAAGATTAATAGTGCAGCACTGAGCTGCTCTCCCTGAACACTTTTCTAATGAGTCTAGTACTTCTAGGTAGGGTGAAGTTCTCATTAGGTCTCAGGGATCTTCACAGGCAAAACTTCCTCAAAGATATTTCTTCAAGGTCTGGGCTTTTTCTCCTCTCTAACTTCGGTGCACTTTGTGTTTGTTTTAGTGCATGTGTAGCAGCTGTTACCATGGCAGCACTGCACAGAGGGCAGCAGCCTGGCAAAACTTCCCAGCGCCTTTCCAGCGGCTGGAATTAAACCTGCCCTCTTGGTTTGTACAGAGGAAAATCTTGTGCTTTGGATTTCTCTGCTTTTAGGAGACAAAGAGGACCCAGCAGAGCAGACTGCTTTTAGCTATTTATTTTTAGCATTGTAGTGATACCAGAAACATGGAAGTAAACAGGAGGTTGTCAGGCTGTTGTAAATAGCACAAGATTAAACCCATGACTCGGAGGAATTCGCAGGCTAGGGCAGTTTATTAAGGAGATATTTAACTGTAATTTTTAGGATACTTGATTTCAAGTGTTTATGGAAATTATTATTGTATCTTAATGACCACATTTCAACATTTTCTCATTTCATGCCTGAGATTAGGAAAGACCCCGACGTCTGTGTGGGTGCCACTGCCCTCTCCTGGGCACAGCCCGGCAGCTGCTTCCCGCTCCTGGGCTCTGCAGTGAGATAATGGAATATGTGGTGCGTGTATTTTTAGAAACTAAAGAGGTAAATTCTGTCCTCTGTTCTAAATATAAAACTGATCCTGCATGCCCACCATCAGATTTTTAAAATCTTCACCCTCGACCAACTGTAATCCAACTGCAGGGCCCAAAGTAGATCCCAGAAGGAAGCTGGTACTTGCAGAGCAGGGTGTCCTGGAGAAAGGAGCCACACTGATCCCCAGTTTTGATGTGAACACAGACTTCAGCTATGTGCAATTACTAACTGGGAGGAGAGCAGCATCCCAGCAGCAACAGTAATCTCTTCCTTTACACAACTCCATGTAATGATGCAAAAAAGTTAAAACCTTGGTTCAACTGCAAGTAACAATATCTCTGTTGGTAGAACTGCCTAAAGGCTTCTAGCTACAATGCCCAGAGCTGTAGACAAACACTAGAAACCTTAGAAAACTGTTTTTCAGACATCAATAAATACACCATGAGCTGGAAAGGGAGGGAGAGTATAACAATAATAAAAATTTGTACCTATGCAGGGCATGGATATACCCCTGCTCCCTCTGAAGTCAGTCACTGCTCTGCTCTTGACTCTTTAGGGAGTCAAGGCTGACATCTCTGGCATGAGGGTTGCAAACTGTTTAAATCTGGATAGCAGTATAGGAAGACAGAAAGAATGCCTGCTATCCAACCTCAGACCCAGCAGTTAGTAGCAAAACAGGACATTCATATTTTGCATTTAAAGGTATTAGAAAAAAAAAAATCACAGAATCACAGAATTGTTAGGGTTAGAGGGGACCTCTGGAGATCATCCAGTCCTGCCTCCCTGCCAAGGCAGAGTCACCTGGACCATGTGACACAGGAATGTGTCCAGCTGGGTTATGAATGTCTCTGTGGACAGGGAGACTCCACAAGCTCCCTGGCCAGCCTGTTCCAGTACTCTGCCACCCTCAACAAGAAGTTATTCCTCATGCTGAGGTGAAAGTTCTTGTGTTTTAGTTTAAGGCCCTTGTTCCTCATCCTGTCACTGGGCACCACTGAAAAGGGTCTGGAACTATTCTCTTGGCACCATCCTTCAAGATATTTGAATGTATGGATGTGATCTCCTCTCAGTCTACTTTTCTCTAGACGAAACATGCCCCGCTCTTGTGGGCTCTCCTCCTATGAGAGATGCTCCAGACCCCATATCAGCTCTGTGGCCTCCACTGGGCCCTCTCCAGTAGCTCCTTGTCTTTCTTGTACTGAGGAGCACAGAACTGGGCACAGCATTCCAGAGCTGAATAGAGGGGGAGGAACACCTCCCTTGACTTGCTGGCCACACTCTTCCTGATGCACCCAAGATCCCACTGGCCCTCCTGGCCCCCAGGGCCCACTACTGACTCATGGTCACCTTGTCATCTACCAACAGTTCCAGTCCCTCTCTGCAGAGCTGCTCCTTAGTAGGTCAGCCCCCAATCTGTGCTGCTGCTGGGGGTTACTCTTCCCCAGGTGCAGGACCCTAATCTTTGTATCATCAGCAAACTTGCTGCAAATCCCAAACAGAATGAAAGTAACATGAGTGTCATCATCTCCATGCTCTCCTTGCATCTCTTTACTCTCCCCTCTTGGTATTCCCAGTCAGGGAAATTCTGAGAATGGTTCTCCTGAGCAGAACAAGAAACATTTCTGTTCTCAGGAAAATTAGGCTCAATTTTGTTTATATTCACTAATTCACATACTAGTATTTGCTAATGTATGGAAGGGTAAATGAAGGATTCTTCTAATGAACTGAAATATATTTTCTCACAAATTTGATGTGCAAACATGGCCCTAAGAGATCACAGATCAAGGAGCAATGGAGAGTAGCACAAGAAAGAAGAATATGTATTAACAAGGTTCTATACAGCCCTATAAGAAAACAGACAGAATTACCAAATACAGAATGTTTTAACCTCTACTCTGTGTGGCTGTCTGAAAAGACAAAATAAAACCACGTTGACTATACTGAACCTCCCTTCCAGCTCCCACATGACTGCATACTTACTGGGCTGCTATCTTAATGTATTTCTTTAACAGCTGAACACGCTTGCTGAGTTGAGAGCAAAGACAAATCTCGGTGACCACCCAGAACTGAATTTCATTGAATCTTCTTAAAAACAAGTCCAGATTTGCTGTGGTCTTTTTAAAATTGTGCCTTCCAAAAGTGTGATAGATCAATTCCAGCTAGGAAAGAGAAAACAGTTTGGAATTCTTTTTGAAGATGTGTTTCTTCAAGGAAAGAGACTAAGACTGACCAGGTAAGTATCTAGCCTGAAACTTGCTCTGCAGTTTAGTTTACATTTATAGCTGCACAGATGACAAGGACTCAGGTTACAAATCCAGTATACAATAGCTGAGGCATAGCAAAAGTGTCACTACAGATTATATATAAGCAGCTGAATACCTCAAAACAAACAAAAGTTATTCAGCAAGCAGCACATGTCCAGAAGAAGTCTAATTGTATTTTTCTATTTTACCTATAAAATTAAGAATATCTTATACTTTCAAAACTTGTAGGTGGCTTTACTGTAGAATTTTTGAAAATCAAGCTTAGAGAAGGTTTTGGAAATAATGCACAAAGCTACAATGTACAGCTAAACACTTTTTAATAGATTCTAACCTGCTGAATAGACAGATCCTCATACCTCATGCACACAGTTGAAGAGCTCCCAGTCATAAATTGTCATCTGATGTGCTAAGTCTTTGGAACTCATCAGTTCAAATGTTCCTACTGTACCAGTAGATGGTCCTTCTTGTTCTGGCAATGGTGCCTACAAACAAGAAAATATTAGAAACATATTTTAGACAGGCTAAATCATATGGTTGGTGCTTTCATTCCATAATATTTCTAACTTTTTTTTTCAGTGTGACCACTTTCCTAATCATGTTTCTAATAGTAAAACTGAAATTGCAGTAAAATTGAAATTTGCTTTTAAACCCAGGTATTGGGTAATGAGCAAAACCACTATCTGGTATGCACAGGATAGTCAGGAAAATTCTGAAAGCTCTTCAGAGACACTGTAAGAAAATAAACCAGACTGTTCTCAGTGTGTTATTTTTAACATTGTTCTAAAATTTGAATCTATAATACACGTTGTGCTAACTAAAGCATGTGTGTTTGTTTAGGAGCATAGGTCTTTCCAAAAAACTTTTATGTTTCCTTTTTCACATACACAAATAACTAGGCCACCAAGGACAAGCCAAATACTTTTACATATTCCTGATTCTAATGATGAGAATTGCTATATCTAGCATGCTTCAGAAATCTGCAGTGATTGCAAGATCTTCTGATCACTTATAAAATAAACCTCCTACTTTCTCTTTGACAGTACACAAATTTGATGCACAATTTGTGATTGCAAATTCCTGGCTAGGCCGATTGAAATGATATAAACACAGTCTTACGAGAAAGAACCAAGTACAAACCATTTCTGAAAGGCACTTCCATGCCACCCAGTAAATGAGACGTGATCTATGATTTTGCACACAGGTGAAGTATTAAACAGAGATTTAAAACATGGCTTGAGATCAAGTCAGATGTGAAGCAGTCTGTTGAACATATCAGGGTGAGGTGTTTGAAGCAGTGCGGCTAAGATACTGCCAAGCACCCCCCGGCAAAGGGAGGGTGAAACACCCGCAGAGGCGGCAGCGAACGCGCGGGTCAGCGGCGCTGCTCCAGGAGAGGGCGGCAGAGCTCACACACGAGCATCCCGACCCTGAGCTCAGCGCCTTTGTTAAACAAGGAACGATGGAGCACGGAATGGCAACAGGCTGCTTTCCCAGCACACACTCTGTGCAGTCTGCCAGGTTGACAGACCTTATTTAGATGCTGCAATATAAGAAATTAACCTACTAAATGAACCCTATTTTATATAAGGGTAATATACTAGCAACAGAAATAAATCTGACTGGATTAATACATCAAAACACTTTCTCAGTAGCACATAGTGTGTAAGGGTTTTACTGCTGTATGCATTCTTGCTTTGTACTCTAGGGAAAACTTTCCTTTCAATTATTGTCATCATACAAACTAACTAAAAAAAATTAACTAAATCACGAACATTATCACCTTAAAAGCTTCGTCTATAATTTTAAAAAATAGTAGAAAAGTATTCTCTAAAAAATCCAGAGCAGCCATTAATATTAAAAAAAGCTGCAGATTGCTTTGAATTTGGATTTGCACAAACACAAAATTTCTTTAGTTTATGACAACACATGAAATAAAAGTAGAGCAGCTTTGTGTAGAAAATTCTAACTTGTGGAAATCTGTGGAAAGAGAACTGCCTACAGATTGAAAGACGTCTTTTTTTCCCCCCATTTGGAGAAGAACACAACATAGCTGTTACCATAACAAACACATATTTTCCAAGGCTAGGAAAGAAGCACTTAGATGCAAACTCACAGCATATTTGAAAATTAATCTACCCAGAACAATTTTCACATGGGAATTGCCAAATGTAATATGTGGATAAATGTTCATGAACAGGAAGAAGCCAGAAACTGGAATGTGAAAGGATTAAACTGGGAGGCAGCTAAGGCTGTAACATTTTTTAATTTGTTTATACCTCTTTGAAAAAATGCAGCTGATAAGGGGTTGTAATTTGCTATGCAATGCTGAGGACCATTTTTAAGTCACTGAATGTACTCCTGTAATTCTTACTGAATTCAGTCTAGTTGATGAAAAGTAGCACATTGCAGCCCTATATCTTAGAGCTCCCTGCAGCACTTTGAGTACTTGATGCATGGTAAATAGCACAGGAAAAAGGTACAGAAAGCCAAAACAATTTGCTGCAAAAGCTATGTGTACATAGACAATGCAGAGCCATAAATAAGTACCCAGCACAGTTTTACTGATGCAACACCCCTGCTTTACAGTAGCATGCCCCATGAGGGTATCTACTTGGCAGGATTAATTAACCTTAAGGGAACACCAGAATTTAATAAGCTGAACAAGAGGTATCTCTGCATGGAACTACATATGCTGGATGTGCATTCCCTGGTTACTAAATTGAAAGCAGCAGCAAAGAATAGATTTTACCATATCCATAAAAGAAATCAGGCATACATACTAAGTGGCTTGTTAAAAGCATACAGGAGGCTGAAACAAGGCTAGGAGTAATAGAGTTCATGCTGACATGACTTGGCAATGACATTTGTTTTTAATGAAATAAAAGGAACAAAAAGTACAGTCAAATCAAACTCTATAAAAGCAGACCCCATGGAGATCACTAGAATGACTGTATAAACTGTAAGTACTTATGAGCAATTCTACCTAAGAAAAAAACAGACTTTCTACCAGGAATATTTTCTGTGATTCTACTTAGAATTATCTCTGATTTTGACACAGTATTTTGTGGGGATGACACATAAAACAAAATTAAGGAATTTACTGCTGGAATAAAATCTCCAGAATGCTTTAATTGATAACACTTATCTTAGAAGATATATCTCTATGACTTTGAGGAGATTATTGTGTAATGAAGAATTACTGCATGTCTTGGTAACAATACTCAGCTCTTCCTAAATGCTCAGTGTGACAGGGAGAGTACTGGGACCAAGTTCTGTTATGTGGATCAGATGGATGGATTTCTGGAATACTTTAGGGAATTAGAACATCAGCTTGTTTTATTTTCAGGGCTCACCCTACTGCAGTGTGACAAGCCCTTTATTGTGAATGTTTCCACTAGTTTTTATCTGAAATGTGGAAATGCAAAGAGGGCCAGGTGTCCAAATAAAGCAAAGCCCTGATGTTCCTGAGCACTGCACACACACGTACCAAAGAATCGAACTGATCCCGAGGGCAGGCAAACAGCCGGCCATTAACGCTCAGAGTGGTGAACACCGAAACATCGTGAGGCTTGAGCACAACCTTTTCTGTAAAAATGAAACAAATTATTACTTATTACAATTTACAGCAGGATTGACCTACCAGCTGCACACATCACCCTTCTGGGAACAAATTTTGCCCCGTAACTCCAGTATTCAGGATACAGAATAGAAGACAGCAAGATCCTCTTTACTGAAGGAATGTGGTAAGCTCAGCCCAAACCAGTCTCCTACAGAACCAGAATCCCAGTCCCAAACTGTACAGACAGGTCAAGAAGGCTGTGCTGCTATCACTAGAAATTACCTGCAAAAATTAAGCCTAATTAGGGAGTCCATTCATTCACTGCTGAGCTGTAAGCATTTGGAGAGCTGCTCTTAAAAGAAATTGCTCTGGAAGGCAGTAACTGCTCAAGGAGGTGATGGAAATGCATTACAACATTGCTAAAAGAGCATCACATCACAGGTAAAGAAAAGATAATGAAGTAACTTACAAAACAATCTCTTCAGCAGATATTGGTGGTCAGCAAATCTGACAAAAAATTGCTTCAACTGCAAAAAGTGAAGCTGCCTGGTGTCAGTTCTCAGGAAGTGAGCCATTTTTGGCAGGCTCCACTGTTTGCAAAAATGCCTTCCAACACAGCTCTCATTACCTCTGTGTGTCTCCACACAGTCATACTCAACCAAAGCACTTGAGCAACACCAGTTCTCCAGCAGAATTCCCCTGCCAGTGACTCTCACATTTCCACAGCCTAGAGGGGGGCCTGATCCCTGACCATCTGCAAACACTAGGTCTGTGTGTTTGGCACTAAGTTGCTCTTCAATGGTTTGCATGGACAGAGCAGGCAAAACGGTAGTGACCACTGCCAGAATGTTGGCACTGCAGTGTTTTGTGACATTACTGATTCCCGAGTCCAGCATGAATATATCCACACTTGCCTCCTTTTTCTGTGGTTAAAAAACTCTTACAAGTCTACCAGTGAAGGAAAATCAGGGTAGCTGTGCTCTGGAACATGCAGATACACAAGATTCTCCACTGGTCCTGTCTCCCCTGTGAGCTGCAGTCTGTGCCTGCAGTAGAGGAAGGACTTGCCTCTCATTAGGACTTGTGTGAGAGCTGAACTTGCACATGGGTATAAAACCTTGACTGAATCCAAATCCAAAATTCTGCTTCACCATAACTGAGGAGTGTTTAAGATGATGTAAGTACAGTACCTCCTCCTGAACTCATCTTTACTATGATGAGGCCTTCTCCAGAGCCCAGCTTGTCTGCTACTGCACTGATCACTTCCTTCACAGAAGAAGACACTGGCACACGGATAGTGGTGTAAGTCTGGTCTATGCAGTACACCTTAAACAGAACTAAAGGAAAAAACATTGCACAGTTTATTCCACATGTAAAAAACACTCATTTACCATACAAATTACTTTCACTTAGTAACCAAGCTTCACAAAATGAGATATAGAAACAATAAATCACTACATAGCTCCCCATTCCATAGATGCTCTACAATTTCTAGTACAGAAATCTCTGATTTCCCAGAGCTTTGGATTTTAGATTTTCAGTATTCAGGACAGTGTCTGTCCTATGAATGAGAAAGGTGCAGCCATATGAACTGAGCAGTTACTGCCTGTCTGGACAGACACAAGAGGTACTATTTTCCTGGCAGCAGGAACTGTTTCCCTCTTTGTAGGCTAGAAACACCACAATGGATGACAGAAGCTGCATGACTGCAGGATGTCTGCTGTTCATATATAGTTAGTTCCAGCTTTAACATGGTTCTTCTAATGGTCTGATTTCTGCCACCAGCTTTCTCAGCTACATGACCTCGAATTTTGTTACTTTGTTTTTTACTGCTGTTCATTAGCAAGAGCTATCCTTTAATATCAAACTTGTTGAAGAAGCAGCTTTTTAAGTGATGAAGTTCCACAAAACAACCATTAAAAGTACCTCATCAGTAATCTGAAAATGACATTCTGATACACTGAGGTAAATTTTACCTTAATCTCTTCAGAGAATCAAACAACACCAATAGGGAAAACCAGCAGATTTTGGTTTTTAGGCTGTGTGCCTAGATTCTTGGATTCTAGATCCATGATCCATGGCATGATTATCTGCTCCACTCCTACCTTGCAAAGAGCAGCTGTACATATTAGCTCATAGGGGAGACAGCAGCTCAAACGTGACCTTCAGCTTCCACTCTTTATTGCACTGCCATTCCCTGCAGTACAGTGTCTTATTGGTTCTTCCCTGTTTTGTTCATTCCTTATTTTAAAGGTTTTTACATTTTCCTCCAAGGAAGCAGTGTTTGATAGCACAAGTAACTAAGGGAAAAGACCAGGAGCACCTCAAATCAACAACAGAGAACAGTGGGCTAGCAAAAGCAAAGAGGGTTTGTTTTGGGTCAGGCTCCAAAATTCTAGGTAGGTGCTTTCATTTATTTTTAGACTTTTTTTTGAGACAGACAAATTTATATAGATGTCAGTGGCTCAAGAAAACTTAGCAGAGAAGAAACTCACCTTCATCACTGCCCCTGATAGGCTGGCGTTTCTGTGCTCTGTCATCACTTGTGTTGAACAGCTGCAGAAGAACTTTGTGCTGAAAATGAATCATTGAGATTCACATTAATAACCATGTGCTACACATGAACTACAATACATCTCTTATCAATGGCAGGAAAAAGAGTAGCAATGCAAAATTTGACAATGTCAAAAGCTATCTCTCAATGTGGTTTTTTAATATATCCATGATTACTAAAGAGAAGATGCTCATAAATTTGCTGTGGTTAAGATTTTACTTGAGAAAATTAACAAATAAATTTTCTTACCTTCTTTTGTGGTGCTTTAGGTTCTTCAGAACTATAAAAAGGTAAAGCATAGAATATACAATGAAATATTGCCTGGAAGATTTTGTGTACAAAATCACATATAGAACATGGACCACTTGTCAGACTAGCATATCAATATAATCTTATTTATATATGAAAAGACTAGATGATACCACAGTTAATCTATGACCAAGGCAGAAAAAAATATTATACAAAGTTCATGTAAGCATGACATAAAGCTTCTGTCAATCTCTCAGTAAGGTTATGGTGTTTGCAAGAATGATGTGGAAAAGAGGGCCATAGACATTAATTCAAATAAGCCTGCATGCAAACTTTCAATTTCATATAACTGAGTGTCATTCACAAAGTGGCTTTTTAATAGATATAACCAATAAATTTTCTTCATCAATTTACTGAGAAAAAGGTCAGGGGAAGGAAAGAAGTAAAAACTATGCTTACATTTGCTTTACAATTTTCTCTAGCTCTGGAAGTTGCTCCTTTAGTGCTGCAATCATTCTGGTATCATCTGATACAGATACATAAAATTCCTGTAAATGATACAGAATAGTCTTTAAATAACTATAGGGGTAAATGAGCAGTACTTAGGAGAGAGGATTATGAGATGACATCTGATAGCTTAATGATTATAAAGAATGATAATCTGCATAGAGGTACACATGCTGGGCCCAACCCTCTATTACTTCTACTTGTTTATCTCCAGCTGATTTAAAGCAAGAGTTACACATGCAGAAGGGAAGCCTGATGAGGCTCCTTAGCTCACTCTGTAACCACCAGCTGCTTGTGTAAAACCTGCATTTTCACGTTTTCAAGGAAAAAGACTAAAAAATCGACAAATAATCCAGCATGATAGGTTGTTTTATTCATTGCTGTTGTAGTCTTTAGGGCTTGATTTGCTCCTGAGTCACTGACTCTAATCCATTACAGTATTACCCTCTTTTAAACCTCCTCCATCCTCTTCCTATTACAGCTACATAAAACTGTCCCCAAGAAGGATCTCTGTGCTTGCAATTAGTGACTGTTCTTTAACTTCTGGACTATTGGAAGTCTATGGCATCTCCAAAGCTTGAAAAACTTTCCCACGTGGGTTTGTGGGGTGTCTACCACTCTTAAGGCCCCTCTCTATTCAAATCCCTCTGCTAAATCTTAGATTCAGTTTTAAGCTCTTTAGGACAAGAACTTTCATTCAGCCAGTAACATATGGGATTATGTTCCATAAGCACCATATATAATAAGAATGGCAATCCCAATCATTTAACATGGAATTGGCAGATATAAGATAAGAATTGCATTCTTATCTTAGAAATCCAAGGATATGGCAGCTACCACAAAGAATTTACAAGGGTTCTGAAGACAAAGATTTTAAGTTCCAATAGCTGCAGTACAGCTTTCATTCAAATGAAAAGGACTTTTGGTTCTGTAGAGTGGCAGCCCTCCAGCTCCTTCCTGGCACACCTCAGCAGGCATAAACAGCCCTCTAGTTCAGTCTGTAGGGCCCCTGAACCATTCAGAAGAAAATACTAGAAAAAGCAAATTCAGTTACTACTGTAACACAAGCTACCCATACAGTGCTTTGAAAGGGATCTGCAACACTATTTTCAGAAAAGGATCTGCAACACTATTTTCAGAGGTCCAGAGGCTGGCAACGGTTCAAACACTGTTGTGGTGCCTTTACTGTCTGCAGCCAAACCTGACAAAACATCACAAACTGAAATAAACTTTGCACTTTGAAATGATCTTTTTCACTTCAGTGATACAATGATTCCCTTATACCTCCAAAAAGGCCATTGCTGCTTCATCTTCTTGCAGTAAATCTCCATATAAAGCAGCCCACTGCAGAACCAGTCGAATGACTCGCCGTTTATTGTTGAGGGCATAATCCATCTTCTCCTGCTCTGTACCCTGAGAAGGCTGGGCATGATAGGTGCCCCAGTGTCAAGGAAAACATTCAGGGATTGAAAATATCAAACACAGTATGAATTCACGAGCAACTGACTTCCAACAAACCACTTTCAGGGTGCTCAAACGTAACTTTCCAATATACACTTCTAAATTCTGACATCCGCTAGTATAACAATTTGCAAACTTTTCACATTCATACTAAAAAGTAAAATGAAAATGAATTTTCTGAAGAGCACAGGAAGGATCACAGTTTCACCACAGAGATGGTTGCTCTAGGAAAACAGAAGAGAAATGACACTTGGAACAACAAAGAGGATTAACCATGGAGACTGAAGAAGGATATTTCTCCATGTTCCTCTTTGGAAACAGTTGAAGAAAAAGAAAAATGTCACTTTGTGTTCATTAACAATTCCAATTTTCCATTTGTTAGGAAGACTACCAGAATGAACTACCAGTGCTATTCCTTTTGTTTTTACAAGTTATTGTAAATCAAAATGAACCTCAGCCATTAAGGGAGGGGGACTTTGACATTTAAAGCCTCAACTGACTATAGAAACACAGGGTAAAATAATAAATTTTGTAGTAGCCTCATTGTCATGAGGAAATCAGACATTTCCACTATGTCAAATAAAGTGTACTTCAAACACAACACTTTGTGAAAGTTATTTTGTGATGAACAATAAGAAAAAATGGGAAACATTTCAATGACCTTTTAAAGACAAAGTGTCAACATTACAAAACAACACAAATAGCTAAAAGGCCAAAAGTAACATTTAGTGAAAGGAAAAAAAAAAGAAGAAAAAAAGTAAAGGCACAATGGGTAATAAATGGAGAGAATTTGAGCCTTTAACCTGTGTGAAAATGAAGTATCTCCAGAAGAAACAGGATATGACAATTTGTGTGTCTATTTCTCACTGAAAAAAGGTTAACAACATATATTTCAACTGTTGAAATAAACTGAGAGCTGAGTGGAAAGTAAGCACCGAATGAGTGCAGTTACATCTTCAACTTTGCTTCCCAGTTACCAGAATTCTGATTCTGGACTGCCATGAGTAATGCTATTCCCAATTATATAGTAACAGGTAACATTAAAGCACTGACACTCTCCCTCACAGCCGTGTGCAGCATCCTTGCATCCTTTCAAGATGCACTTTCAGTTGCTGTACCAAAATATTTTAAAATATTAATTAGAAAATAAAAATATTAATGAGGAATACAAATTGTATAAGGTATTTATTCTAAGCTTCTAATTTAGAAAAAAATTCCTAACAATACTATTAATAAAATGCAATGGGGAAAAGTACCTATTAAATCACACTTTGAAATGATCCTACAGCCCAAAGCCCCTGGGATGCTCATTTGACTGACAAACTTTCAGAAATCTGCACTTTAATTTCATTTGGAAAGGTTTAAAATTGGCAGAGAACTAAACATGACAGTACAATTAAGGCAGAAAGGCAGAAGTCATAAGAAGTAAATAATTCATTCTAAGTTATGTGCTCCAATATCCTAGGGAGCAAGTTTAATATTCTACCGAGTCATTTTTCTCATGCCATATTTACCTTTCAAACACTAGAATTATTTAATGTATTTTTACTTTCTTATTAACTGACTCACCACAGGCACTTGTAATTTTTCTGTATTTTTACTGCTCATTTACACTGATTTCTCTTTTATGAACATTATCACAAGGAAATTCAATGAAAGGTTCTCACATTTTTATGTGATCTTCAGGATGCAGCTTCACTACAGACTGCAGTCAGAAATAAACTGTGATGCATACTTGCAACAAGTGTCAGATAATTGCAAAATATTTATCAACACCAATATGGTTAGAGCTCAATATATATATATTTCTAATTTTCCCTAGCATATGCTAAGAAATTGAAGCAATTCTGAAGGCTGTTCTTCCCTGTATAGGAAGATCCAGTTATATAAGGAGCTGTGCAAGATCATTGCTACAACAGAATGCAAACTTTTTTGGTGGCACGATGGTAAAGGAGAAATGTGCTGAAGAACTATCATCTACAGAGAGCAAAAGAGGAGTTTATACTTTGCAAATATTTAGACAGTGGTCCTTTAAAGGTGCACCCCTGCACACATGCTTAAACACTGGCACTAACCCAAGGTCACTTTTGGAGTTGCTGCTCTATTTCAGGTTTTCTTTCAGGCCTTGTCCTGCCTCCCTCTGACAAGCTGTAGATCTGAGAGTTTGTCCATTTCTATTCTGTGAAGAAAAGGGGAAAAGGGCCCTTGCTCCACCACACAGGGCTTATATCCTGATCCAGGACAGGGGAGCATGCTTTGCTTCCCTATAAAACAGAAGTTTGGTTTTTTTTCATATTGCAGGATCTGTATTCTTTCATGACTGAAAAAGACTTGGTGTGCAGAATGACAGCACAGAATAAGCATGGAATCCACAGCAACCAATAATGTTACTTGTACAAAATGGTGCATCTGTCCATTTCTTTCAGAATTAAAATAACTTACAAATGACTGCTGCACAAGAAGTGAAAACCCAAATAATTTATAGTCTGTACTATGCTTGAAAGCACTTCAGTGGTCTAGCTCTACTCATACTTGCATGCTGCCAGCTAAAATAGTATCCTAAGTGGGTGTAGGAAAATAGACTTGTTTTGATTCAAAATTGGGGGCTGAAGTAAAAAGTCGCCGACTGAATCAACTTTTCTTCTTTTTCTGTTTTAATTTCCTCATTGAGCATAACTAATCTCTCCTTAGTCTCACAGCACTGGCAAACACTTTTGTAGTGTGATTTTGCTCCAAAAAGATGAGCTTTGTTAGGAACCTTTCAACTCTAACAATAAATTTCAATGGTACAATCAACAAAGCACAGTTAGCTTTTCCATATTCAGAATGAACCAAATAAATAATAATTCAGCTCCAGGAAAGCTAACACTAGAGCAGTAGGATACCAGTTACTTCCAGCTCCTCTCTGAAAAGAATTAACATGATGCTTGCCATGACCCACTGAAGGCCATGGTCTTAGCATCCTCTCCAGAACAGATTTCATCACAAGTCCTTAAGTGTGATTATCCTTAACTTTGATTACCAGAAAAGCTTCTCCCCTGTAAAGAATGAGGTACATTTTGCTTATGGGTCTGATTTTCCCAGTTGTTGGATAGAGGTATTCAATTATAACTGAGGATAGAGAAGCCTGAATTTCAAATGGACTGACTGAATAATATGAGCTAAGTGTATCAGGACAAAAAACCCCAAACATTAAATGTGCTGCCCTTTCTTCCCCTCTCAATGCTGTCAGCAACAGCATTTCATAATACTTTTGATATCCAAAACAATGTGATTTTGGAAATGTGTTTGTTTCAGGTGTGCGAACAATCTTCTACAGACCAGTTTCATGGGTCCAAAGGTTTTCAAAACAATTACTCTCCTCGCTAGGAGTAACACAAATGGATTCTCAAGCTTGCCAGACAAGGACACAATGCTCTATTTTGTGGTTTCAGGAGGTGAGCTTTCCCAGATGTCACTCGCCCCACTGAGCTTGAAGGAAAGCACTTTCACAGCATTGCCATTCAAAACAAATAAATAGGGAGCTGAAGGTATTATACCCCTGTCAAAATTCTATAAAACAGAAAACATTATATGTTTATTTAATGTTCCCAGTCACTTGATAGCTTCAAGTCACTGTGCACAAGGAAAACTCTCTAGGTCCAACAGCTCCTCAAACTAAACTAAACAATCTGCCAGTAATTGACATGATGTACTTCTTGAGAGAGGAAAGCTTCACTTTTGTCACTGATAGGTATCATGGCTAAAGAGACTTTTCTCTTAAAAAAGGATATTGTGCCATCAAGGCTGGGCAGAGCTGACTATTTGGCATAAAAACACAGTGCATCATAATAAAATCATTTAAAACAGAATCTGTGAAAAAAAGAGAAAGAATATAGTCAATTAAACCTCTGCAAACAGCTAGGAGAGTATCAAGGATGAGTTTTCTTCCACCTGAACTATCTTATTAGCCCTCTGCAGACAATAAAGTGGTCTTTTTGCACTTCCTTTGTAGGCATTAGGTACAAAAAAGGGTAAGGAACAAATGTGAGCTAAAATATTAATCTTTTAGTCTTTTCTGCATGAACTTTATTGCATTAATTTTATTGTTAGCAGGTATTTGCCCTGGGTCAAAGAGAAATCTGGCTCAGCAAAAAGCCCCACATCTTTGCTGAAGTGAAATATTTGGATATACTTCTCTACAAGTGTGGAGTTCTATGCAAGGAAGAATTTGACCTTTCACACCTGGGTACCTAAAAAGAGCTGTAACATTTGGCTTTAGGAGTTACAATACCAGGCAGCACACTTAGCATATCCTACACAGGAAAAGGAAAATAATTTCATTCTTTGCTGATTTCCTAGCACTGAGTAGAATGCCTAGAAGAGGTAAATGGACAGTCAAATTTCTGGGTTTATTTTGATTCAAAGGTATCACAGCTGCTACATTTACATTAAAATGTATATGAACAATATGACTGACATTTTCTCTGGCAAAACCCAGCACGCTATTTTTTCTGCTAAAATGGCCTGTGGTAGTGCTGGTGTAATTTCCAGTTTGCCTTATCTTTGTATTTGTTACAACAAGAAGGATTTATAAAGCCTGGCTGCAGAGGCCAGAATGAGTTTGGTAGGCTTATATGGAATCACTGAGAAACAGTGAACACAATACCCCTGGGTATTATTTCTACAGTGCAACTTCTGAGATAACAGAAACTTACAAATATTGTAAGGAATGGCAGAAGAAATATGAAGACAACTGTGCAATATAATTATTACATCATTGCTTCCACTTCCTATATGAAAGTATCTTTCACTTGAAAAAACTCACCTCTGGAAGGGCAGCACTTTTTCAATGCAATACCCAGAGCAAATTGGTTTTTAAATACTCTTAAATTAAAGGAATGCATAAACAAAAAATTCAGTTTTCCAGCATTCTCTGATCCTATATCCTAAAACTAACTTTATGAATTGTGACACAATATATTGTATTGGGATATAGGTACAATTTTGTCACTAGATGTTTTGGTAAAAAGTTTTAAAATATTTTTAAAATAATTTGTTTTGAAAAATATACAATATATGCATTCTGCAGATGGCAAACTTGTGATTATATGCAAGCCTGAAGAAAAATACTCTGCTTGCAATTCTAGTAAACAGGTATCTGTGAAAAGGATCCCTCTTATTTTTGTCTTTAAAGTAGTGGAAGCATACAATTTAAAAGGATTTCTGTAATTTTTCACCAATTACACCATTTATGGTCCAGTATAGAGATTTCTCCAATACTGTGAGGTCAATTACAGATTAACTGGATTTAAGAACACCTTTGAATATGTACTTAGCAGACATCTATAGTGCAAAAAGAACTTGCAAAAGCAATGTTACATAGTTTAATATATGTCTATGCATTACTTTATGAGAATTATGAGGATTTTTTGTGAATGATTCTTCAAAAATGAAAGTACTTACTAAATGTAAGTCTGCAAATATCTGTATCCCTAGATGTAAATTCTCTCTTCTCTTTACACTAATGAAAAGCAGCCCACTAAGTGCAGATGCAGCAACCTGCATTCTTGGGACTCAGTTCATGCTGTGCCAAGTTCTCCATTGAGTAACAATTCTTTTTTTCCCTGCATATGGGAAAATATCACAACCACAAAATGTAAATTGTGATATTTTCAATGTGATGTGAAGATTTGAGAACACTTATACTAGCACAATGTAATGTCTGGAGGTATCAAGCTATTTCACACAGTGACCTCCAGAACAAGGAGTGCCATTACTAATGTGGTGCTCTGTCCAGGCCTTATGGTTGTGCCTAATTAAAGTCATAAGTGCTGGTCTGGCACCTTGGAGGGTTTGCTGTTCTTCTATGACCTTAAAGTACAAACACAATAGAGCAGGCTTGGAAAAGTGGATTCCTATTTTTAATTTTGGATTTCCTTCATTCTCTTGGGGTTGTTTCAGAGCAGCAGACAGTTCTTCTGGGAAAAACCACCACCATAGGGGCTTTTCAAAGCAGTGTTCCCACAGCAAATCCACCTAATAGGGCAATAATCAAACAGATTCTGCCGTGTAGGTACCTGTTGCTTCATTTAAAGTTGCTTCAAGGCGCATAGTTTCTAGAAAGTGCTCTAAAATTTTCTCTGGGGTTCCTGACATCACAATATACCTGAGGGAGGGAAAGGAGCAGTTAGCATCTCACAGCCAAAAGAGTTAATCAAGAAATAATTGTGCAGCAGCAAGAAGATCAGGACTGCTGTGTGGCTGTGTGCCAAACACCTGCTCTGACCAGAATCTCTGTGTGCTTAGGGCAAAACCCCTCACAATCTTTGCTGGCTTCCCCCCGTAAACCTTAACAGCAATATTCTCCACCCTGCCCAGGGATGAGAGACAGCCCCCTCCCCACACAAGCACTTCAGTACAACACCACCACAACCACACCACAGACAGCAGAGCTGCAAAGGTCCAAACTCAGAGAGGTACAAGCAGAAATGCTCCTCCACTGAGAATAACTAGCTAAGTAACAGCAACAACCTGCAGTCATTAAAGCGTCTTAACAGGCTCACCATGAGCCTGAAATAAGAACTAGTGTGTATCAGTGTCAGAGCAAGGAAACAATTTCCTTCAGCATCCCTGACACAGGCTGGTCTGGGAAGGAGGAGGCAGATAATGAAATAGCACACTGTATCCTCAAATTTGTGCAACACCTTGCACAGCTGAGGGGTTTCAAGTCGATAAACTGAGAATTGTACCATTTGCTGGAATTAGTTTAGTGAGTTGAGAGAACTAGTGCAACAGCCAGGTTTTTCTGATTCATGCAAAAACACTAGCAAGATTTTAAGTACCAGCAGAATATCATATGATATTGGAAAACTTGTCATCTTTTTTTTCTCTTTTCTCATGGATCAGATTTTTTTATATTTCACTCCATTCTTTCAATCTTTCCATCTTTTTTTTCTTTTCTTTTTTTTTTTTTTTTTGGAATTCAACTGATGAAGTATGAAACTTAAAAAAAATAAAAGAAAAAAAAAGAAAGAAAAAAAACCCTGAGAAGTGAAGATACTCTGCTCCTGCTGAGAAATAAGTGGTGGAGCTGAGCTCCTGGGAGCTCCTCCTCACTTTGAGCACTGACCGTCACAGTTCTTTTACCTGCCAACCTCTTTGGAAGAACTGTATTGATGTCCCAAGAACACAAACACTTGTTAAGCCAGTGCACATTCTCACAGAGATACTAACCAAGTATCTAAGTGAGTGAAGCAGAGAAATCACAGGTTGCTGTACTCTGAATATGAAAGTGGAAATGAACAGTGAAGTGACTTGCAGGGCTGCTGGATTCATGCTGCATGAGTGTGATCACCCATAAAGAGTTAGGTAAGTGGTAACTTCAGAGCCAGTCCTCCCAAGTGAAACTGGCACTGAGGAAAGCACAGCTCAGGGAGCTGGGTAGGAGCTCTGTCTCCTCCGTAGAGGAGGCAGTGGAATCCAAACTGTAACCAAAAGGATCTGCTCCCAAAATGAAGATTCTCCCAAGGCCAAGATTAGAAAATTCGTTTTTTCCTGAGAAGAGGTGCCTGATAAGCTCCTCTTTTGGGCAGTCATTTTCAAAAGTACTGAACACTCAACTAACACATTCCAGTAACACATTCTGGAAATCAAGAAACTTTGGTAATTTTGGTTTGGTCTCTCAAACATAAATGTAGCCACTTACTCTATTTCCTAAGGAAAGAAACATTGTCCTCAGACCCAGTGAACTTACTTTGAAGACTTTAAACATAAAGACACTGCCAACACAGTGTTAACAAAGTAATCCAACTGGTGAAAAGCAGACAGTGAACCTTCAGGGTAACTTCCTCTTCTGAGTAACTTATGTCTGTTGGTCATAGTTACCAGCAAAAGCTCCCTTGCTGGCACCTTTATAGTACCCAAAAGCTGACCAAATGAGTAAAATATTTACAGAAATGAAATTCTGAGCTTTACCTAAAAATACTCCTGGTATGTAAGGCCTAACTTAACCATTTACCATAAATATCTCTGGCTATTTTTATTAAATTCTGAAAAAGAAAATGTTAAATAATACAAGTAACACTGGTGCAAAGAGTTTGCAAGGAAGGCAGCGTTTCAAAATGTTCAAATGGACCTTTCACTTTTGGAAGCATGAAAACTGTGTCAGACTCAAGAAAATGGATTTAAACCTATGACCAAGCTGCTGTGCATTGCAGTTGCTGATGCAAATCCACTGGCTATGGTCAAGTTCCCCCTATTTGGGCAAAGAAAAACTTCTGTAGGAGTACATGGTTACCTGGTAGCATAGATTGTTTTTCTAGTTGTTTTCATAGATCAAGTGGAAAATAAAAGAGAAGTTCCTGAAAAATGTGAAATGTGCACATAAAATGCAAGGAATGGCTTATGCAACCTTCACAGATCTTTATAAATCTTTGCATTCAGTTGTGCAGATAAAATAAGTATATAAAATCCCAGATGAGATAAAAACTGTACCCAAAGTATTGCACAATAAATTGGCTCTTTTTTAAGAGAAAGTGAAGTTCAGGGTAAAGGATTGAAAACTTGTTGAAATTGTTTGAATGCTTCTGAAGAAAATTGTGTATCCATTTGCAAATAACACATTTACAAAGCCTTTAGGGGTTTTACCAAGGTTCAGAATGATAATAGCCTCACTCTACTCTTATCACAGTAGTATCCAAACAGAATTGTACTTTTTCCCTTTCAGTAAGAAAGGAAAATATAGTTAATATTGTTATTACAGTGCTAAACTATTCTGTAAGATAAGCTCTGCAACTTTCATTGCATGAGATCTTTGTATTGTATATAAATTGTACATAGCAAACTCTTCTTAGCATCTAGAGCTCAAAATACAAAAGAAAGATACCTGTACTTAACAATAAAACAATGTATTCTCCTCCCATCTTTTACACAGTAACTCAGATTAATAGGGTTTCATCAATCTCCATGCTTAGTCTATTTGGAAGCTGTTTCTTGAGATAAGTATTTACACTGAGATCTTCGGGGAATTATTGTGTAAATACCTAGAGCTGGTGTGCTGCTAGAAATGGATATATTACTGAGTATGGGGCATGTGCTGATGACTAAAAAAAGAAAACCTTTATATGCACTGCAGTCTTCCACTGAAAGGGAATATGCTATTGTTTGGATAATAGTACCATTTAAAAAGGTTAATAATTGTCTGACATTTGCACTACTGAATGAAAACATACTTGTGCTGCGGCTGTGAATTTCCTTGATTAGAAATTCTGTTTCCTGCTGGGATCTTCTCCAACACCAAGACATCTTGGTCATGTTCTTTGAGTCTTACTGTATTTGCTTCCACATCCTGCAAGACAAATTATTTTTAATAAATGTGACTGTATTTGATTTGCCTGATTAGTTACTCTAACAAACTGCATGACTTTCAAACACAAAATACTTGTGTTGGTTCTTTCCCTCTGTATTTATCTGTCTTTATTCTGTTTTTCTCACAGGCAGAATCAAGAAGGAAGCACTGGCACCGAGGCAAGAAACAGAGAATTGTGGGAGAGACTAGAGCAAGAACTATAATAAAAGTCTCCATTTTATGGAGATGTCAAATTTAAAAAAAAATGTTTGCTGGAAAACAGTCTCTCCCCAACTTGTTGTATATAATGTCATCTCTACCCCACTTAAATGTAAATACTATGTTCTACAATCTAACTTTTCTCTAAAATAAAATAATAATAAAAAGAAGAAAATAGCATTTAAGAATAGAAAGTCTTAGCTCAGTAAACTGTTCATTTTCTACTACCAACTCACTCAGAGTAGAAAAAGAAAAAAGTTAAGTATAATGTGCATTCAAAAAACACAGGTAAAAATTAGTAAGATTATGGACTTGGATCTTCTTTGAATTATAGACCAAAGCTTAATCAGTTTTAAGTCTCCACAGCCAACCCAGCCTTACTCCCAAAGGGATCCTCATTCCCTGTTGTACAGCAACCACAAGTCATTTTTATAGTGGAGTATCCTTTCTGGACCTGTTTTATTGCTGCAATACTGGGCACATACAGGTTAAAATACTGGACAATGCTAGTTTTGACTTCCTCTACAATGAATGACCACAAAATAGCCTGCATTTACAGAATTACAGTTGGACTTTGGAACACATTTACCCCAAAATGAATAACCGTCAAATTAGTCCGGGAATATCTTTCTAGAGTTCTCTGATAAAGACTTCTGTGTAAAGACATCTGTAACTTATGCCATTTGCCACTTGATTCTGCCTTGAAACTCTTGAATTTAATGTACCTGACACTGACCTATGGGGGAGAAGGGGTGATCTTGTTTTTTTCAATATTTGGACAGAATATCACTAAGAAATCCTGAGCAGCATGAGGAAAAGTTGAGCAGGGCAAATTCTAGATTATAGAATGTGAGAGAAAAGATTCCATTTGGTTGTATTTTCATGTCTGAGCTGGAAGCTGAGAGAGGAAAGGTGATGAACATATTCTTTATGTGACCTCCTAGACTGTCTCATCTCTGCTCCACAATTAGGCATACTACAAACAAGGTTATTAATATTAATATATTCATAGAAATGACAGCCTCTAGAAAAACTTGCAAGTTCTGATATGACACTGAGGGCAGCCCTCCCCACTCTTACCCTAAGGATCCTGTTGAAGTCCTCCTTATCTACTCTCAAGAAGTGGCAGTTGTCTTCCCGCAGAACAATGGATGCTGCTCTGGGAGCATCATTCACAAGTGCTAACTTGCCAAAATCATCTCCTTCATGTAGAGTACATACCACACCCTGCACAGAGCAAAACATTTACATGCAGAAACCCATCATTACTCTGGATTCTATTGAAAGTCCTTGTACAAACACTGGACTTCACAATCAAACACCAAAATAAATCTATTTGGCAGGAAATCAACAGCCAAAATAATGACTGGGAAACAATACTTGATAGCTGGTTATTACTATTACTAAAGAGGCAAGAACAGAAAAGAATCAGCTTGTTCTCTGAAATTGCATTCAGCTTGAAGGACTCTTCTCTTCTCAGCCTGCTGAAGACAGAAAGTTGTCGACTATTTTGTTTTTTATTTATAGGGGCCCTAAAAAGTAAAATCAAGTTTGCAGAATTAACACAGAACAACACATCTCCAGCTGTTGCACATCAGCAGTGCTCTGTTTCCTCCAATTCACAGTAACAGAGGATCTGGCCCACCCAGTGATGTAAAAAACATGGCTAAATATGTGCTACTGAGGAACAGATTTATCACTAGGGCCCTTGTGCTAGATTTTGGTGAAATGCTTTGTTTTCAAATGGAGGATTCTCAGTCACTGAATGAGAAATCAATGAGGAGTAGGGTTTAAAACTCAAGGGATTCCTGTGTACCAATATCTTTTTTGCTTTGAAAAATCTCTCTCATAAGCAGGAAATTTAATAAAGATGCTTTTTGGTCTATGGCTTAACTAAAATGAATAGCTGGCATAAATTTGGAAGAGCTTCAACCAACCTGAGAACTACCAGTCACAAAGCAGTACTTTTGTCAGACATGCATGAGAACAGTTAGTCATCCAAATGCACGACAACATGGTGGTAAAGGGATGGGGCAAAACCCCCATGAGAGAGAAGTCTGGCAGTCCACCAAATTCCAGGAAATTACTTTGTCCTAAAGATACTGATGAAACTCTGATGGATTATAGTCAGAAACTGTGTAATATATCCCAAAATTATAGAGCACTCTACTGAAAGTATAATCAGTGAAACCACTGGATCATTTCTTAATAAAATTACAATCTACTTGTTTTGTCAGACAAAGCAATTTCACTCTGAATTAAACTGTATTCCTTCAAAGTTTACTCTTAAAATTTCAATAATAACAATCATACAAAATAGCTTCTGAAAAAAATACCTTGCCATAAATGACTACGTTTACTGATCCCTTTAGGATAATGTACCAAGAAGTACCTTCTTCTCCCTGATTAAATACTACAAGAGAGAAAAGATTTTATGGTTAGAATATAGTTATTCAAAATATAAATGGGCCAGATTCTTCACCCAATAAGATTCAAGGTAACTCTACAGTCATATAAATGTCTACCATATAAAAGGGCATACTATGATTTTAAAAGCAACTGCCTTCAGAATTTAGAAAAACAATTCATACCCACATAGTTATGTTATGTTATTACACTGATGTGAAAGTTGCTTTTCTTTTCTATTACAGCTCCAACAACTACTTTATCAATATGTCAGGTTATCAATTACTATTAGCACACAGGTTGGATCCCACCAGTAGCACCATGTTCTAACCCAGTTCTCTAGTGACTGTGAATTTAATATTCATCTGCTAAAATGTCTCAGTATTAACATGTCTGAGTAATCTACCATTTTAAATTCTTTATTTTGTGCAGGAAGATTTTTTTTTAATACAGGATTATATTAAAATACATTTTAAATAGAGATTGGTCAAACCAAAAATTCTAGGTAAAAACACACCCAAATTGTAAGTGATACATACACTCAACCAAGGATACAGAATAAATTTTGGTATTGTCCCCACATTTGGCAACAGACTAAGCTAACACTTATTACCCTAGGCTTTAAACATGAAGTGACAATCAAGTTTGAAGAATGCATCTAAGTTTTGCTCTTGTCATTTAAACATTAGGATTTTAAATATTCATAGCACAGGTGAGAAAGAGATCTGACAGGATTCCATTACTTACAGACTGTTCCTGCTTTGGGATGTGACTCAAAAATGAGGACACCTGCTAATTCCCGTTTTACCTTAAAATAGAAAGAGAAATTATAGTTATTATCTGTATCTCATTCCTCCTGGTGATGAGGTCACATAACATAGCCCAGTTGTACTTTCCTTCCCTCTGCATCATTGATCAGTCGTTGGTCTGCTTCCCTTGATCTCCTAATTCCTATTGATTGGCTTTACAGAGCTACAATTCCTGGCTCCAAATGGCTCAGACAAGGGCATCTTTAAGATATGGGTCTCCACATCTTTCTTTGTACACACACATGTGAAAGGACCATCAATGATTAACAAGACAGGAAGTTTCAAATGGTAGTAGTTAATCTGTTACAGAAGATAGCTAGAGATTGTCAATTACTGCATGGAAATATTCCTGTTCTCTCCTGAGGAATCTGGTTCAGACTGATCTAAGTCTGGGCTCCTGCTGGGTCAAGCTGTGAGGCACAGCCACCTGGACTTGCTGAGTGCCCTCTCTGCCTGACAGCTTCCCAGGCAAAGCATCCAGCTCAGTACCTCTTCCAGGAGCAGGACACCGCCCTTGGTGTCAGCCAGCCCCCTGCTGGGGTTCTCTTGCCCTTGGTGTGATCAACTCTGGCTGACTGGGCACTTGTCTCTGGGACACTGCTTACAACTGCTTTTTGCTACTGTGTTCTGCCACAAAATAGCAGTAGCACTAGGAATCTTGTATGATCCTGAGTTCTTCTGTGTTTTATGTTTCTCTTCATACAACCACAAGTCTCCAAGAACTTAGAGGCCAATTTCCAAGCAGCAAGATTCACTTATTTGGAGAATGTCAGCTGGTGACAAGCCATTTTTCAGAGGTACTACCATGTAACTTAATCATGCTAAATACAGATCAAAATCTGGCCTCAACATCTATTTATTTTCACACCACTGTCTAGTTTGTTTAAATTAAAAAAAAAATTAGGCCACGAAGAAAGACTTGGGAAGGAGCTCTCAAATTCTGGGCACAATCCAAATGAGAATCTGATGGCTGCATCTCCTAAGATGGGTGGAAAAATTTGGGCACTGATATACTTAAAGGCACCCACCCAACCTTGGTGCTCAGGCACCAAGTATAAACATATCACATCAGCCACCTCTCCTAGAACTCCTTTCTGACAATCAGGGGAAAGCATTCCCTTTTTGAAGCCTGGAGAAAAAGAGAGATAGAGGTTTCTTAAAGTACACTGACCAGTGAACACACTCAGAAGCCTGCAATTTCTGTAGCACTTAACTCACCAAACTCCTTTATAACTTCTGCTCAAAGGCAATGATACTTTCATAAGGCCAGGAAATACAACCCCATTAGCACTGTTCTGCACATAGCAGAGAGCATTTCTATCCATTTATGTTCTCAGATGTCTTCTCAGTTGATTCAGTCATTGGCCTTTGCTCTGAATGAATCCACTTGATGAAGCCCGAGGTTTGACTTGTTTTTAACACTGTGTTATATAATTCTTCTTCATTTGTACATTAACTTCACAGGCTTCTCTAGCAGGAATTAGTTCACCACCATGAGACTTGAGCTTTATCCATTTTACTTTCTACTGCTTGTGGCATATCAAGAAAACTTATTACTTTAGGAATTATGCCTTACTTAAAATAAATTAAACATTCAATTTCCTTTCAAGTTGATTGGTCATTAATCTTCTGGTTCATAGAAGCAATGCTATCTCTTGTTCCTCTAAGCTAGTCTTAGTTTCTGCCCTCTTCTTTAGTTCATGATGCACGCAATAAGCTGGCCATTTCCATATTCTTACTAAAAACATGGAATCATCTGTACTTCAAAATGCCAAGTATTTTTGCAGTTTGTATTACTTTCCATACTTGTTCCATATGGTACTTGCTGTGGTATCTGACCTCAAGACTGATTTTCTTCTAAGCTGAAAATATTTAGTGTTTCAAATTTTTTTATTCTGGGTTATGTCCACCGTATCGAGAATTTTCTCCACTCTGTCTCAATATCTGTCTATCTTGCGTAGTTTCTTTTCTTTAACTTTTAAAGGGTCATTTCTGAATCTTACAGTGGTCTTTCTTTAATTACTCTTTTCTCTACATTCCAGGGATTTTTAAGGCTTTTGGATGTTGAGGAATGCATCTAGTGCAGGTACCTTGGTTTGCAAGCTGCAGTTTGTCTGCAGACTGAGCTCTGTGTGGGAGCCCAGAGAGACAAGAGGCCATGGACTGCCAGCCCTCTTCAGAGCAAACAGCACAAGTGGCACCAGCCAGGTGAATGCACACTGGGAGACATAGCAGGAGCACAGGACACAGGAAGAAGGGTGAGACTTGTGAATGCTTGGATGGTGAGGGGATAAAAGCCCAGGGGTTTCTTTATTGAGGATCCCTCCTCAGAGGCACCAGCTTGAGCTGTTTCTGTGTTACAGCACTGTGAATAAATCGCTTTATGGAGCAAGACACACAAGGCTCTGCTATGGGAAACCTGGGGTGGAAGCAGTGAGGAGACCTGGTCTGTTTGTGTGAGTGGGGGATGTGCATGAGTCCAGCAGGACCTGCCAGGTCACTGGAGCTGCCCCCTGTGAAGGGGCTCCAGCCCCAGCAGTGACAGTCTCTGGTGCTGGGAGTGTGACAGTGAGAGTCTCACAAATGGTCAAACTGGGAAGTTTCCTTAACACCAATGTAATTCAGATACCAACTCTGAATGCCTACTCTTTTTTGAAAAACATAGTTCAGGTTTTTATATGTTTGCATGGAGTACTATCTTTCTGTAATGCAGCTTCATAATTAGCTGCATCTGCCCAAGCTAACTGAGAACAACTGAAAATAACAAGAGATTCTGAAGAAGGCATTGTCAAGTATGAATCTACTTTCTGACTGGTTTCCTTCCTCTGAAAGCATCCACATTTTACTGCTACCAATAAAGTGCTATTTAGCTTGTTTCAGTTGTCTGCACAGTATATGGTGAGACTTTAAACAGATGCATTCTCCTGTCCATTCCATTTATCCTTGATTCTCTGTGCTGTTCTTGACCACTTCAGGGAGAAAGTGTCTGATGAGCTTTCTTTCACTCAATGACAAACTCCAACCAGAAAGCACTGCACAGTGCACCTTTCTCCACAGTATAATTCCTCCTCCTAACTGGTTCAAGCGAAGACTCCCTACAGAAATCAATTCTGCAAAATTCAGTAGTACCAGTACCTTAATTTACACATGCACAGGAACACAGACAGTGGTAGCTGTGCCAAGTGAGGGGCTGTGCAGAAATACTTGAAGAGAATTATATCTGATATCAAATAGACAACCTACACCTGCAAAGGGCTTGGGTGATTCTCACAGATGGAATAAATTCTTCGCATGGAAAGTATAAATGAAAATGGTTACAGGCTCTCCAACTTTGATAAAGTCAGAAGTAAAACCAGAAGTAAAAATTGAGCCTCCCTTTAGGTGATGAGTTATAATTTTTAAAATTACTTACCGTGGTAGAAAGGTGAGATAAGGCCTTAATGTGGAGAAGTTCTTCATATATAAATTCTAAGTCATCTACAGTTCTCTGGCCAGGGCTATAGAGAGAAGATAAAAGGGAAAATTAAATGCAATAAATGCTGAAATAAATACTTCACAGAAGGACAGAACAACACAAAATGCTGCTGAACTGTCTAGTGAAGTGTACATCCTCACTAAACAGGGACTGAATGATGTTTCTGGCTGGAGGACTGAAACACACAAAGGATGGAAGCTCTGTGAATGCTACCTGAATGAAACTGAGCAGCAGCCATGGCAACCACCTTAGAGAGATCCTGATTAGGCAGCTTTTCTGATTAAATCAAGTCTTCTATATATGTATAAAATGGTCACATAAATCAGAAATGGTACATAAAGATTTGTTCCTTTCAAAAGGACTCCTGAGCATGGGGCATGCACTATTTTTCACAAGCAGTACTAATTAGTTGTAGCAAACACAGTTGTAGTGGTTTGTAAAGGAGTGTGTTAACTTCTGCTGAACAAATTGGAGATGCAGCAGTGCATCTTGGAGAACAGCTAACGACTGCTCTACAGTTAATGCTGAGTGCTGCTGTTTAGCCACAAAGGTAAATAAGAACCACTCAGTAGTTTCAGCCTCTCTCACTGAAAAATACAAGAAGCTTGTGCTAGAGGAGAATTATTCCCTCATCAATGCATTGATAAAGGAATAATTCTTCTCTAGCACAAGGAGCAGTAAGGAGGCTGGCACTGTGGCTGAAATAACTGCATTTCTGTAACCTACCCAAAATTTTCTGATTGCTAAAGAAGGACACAAATACTGTGGGGACTGCAGTGTGTCAGAGATGCTTTGGAGGATCTAATAAACAGCACACAGGAGGAGTTGTGGGAGCTTGACAGTAACTCCCAATCTTTTTATCACTCACAAGATTCTCTTCAGTTACAATATCTAATACAGTATTATTTTCTAAAAGAACAATTTCTCCTGTCACATAATTTCAGACAGCACATTGGAGTGACATACGGACACACAGGAAGAAAAATACCTTTAAAGCATTATTTCAAGCTATTTTTGTAGGACTAAGTCCTTCCAAACAATATGGTTTAGATTTGAGAAAAGCAGATTACAAGTAATTAATTCAATGGGCCAAGAACAAAAGAAAAGAGCAATAAAGACATAAGAGAGAGGATGAAAATGGGATACAAGAGAGGAAATGGGATACAAGAAGTCCAGTCTGGGGGCAGGAGTTCCAAATGAGAACATGCTCCACCATTACAACAAGCACAGTTCTAAATCCTGCTGTCTGCAATGTGTGGTGTCAAAAGAATTAACAGCACAATTTAATCTTTGGACAGCCCTGAAAGAAAAACTACAATGATAGAAGTTTTCCTCCTAAAATGTCAGTATTACAGGAGACTAGCACCTAGAGGATCAGGAAAGCCATATGAAGAAATACTGTGCTCTACAGATTTTCTGCCTAATCACCTCCTGATTAAACAGTCTGTCTACATCTTGTGTGAGACACAGGGAGTGCCCAGTTCTGTTACTCCAGGATTATATTGCATCTTTTTACAAAAGTAGCTGGATGGAGACTTCTTTTGGATGAAAGAAGTACTGAAGAAGTCACAGAAAATATAAGGAGAACTGACATCTCTGCTAATCAAGCTTTATTTTTCTTCTGTTCTTCACTTACCAATGACATGCATTTTTTATTACCCAGATTAAAGACAAATTTAGACTACAAATAATTTCGGATTAAATTACTCTTTTCTCATACAGAATCAAACTATTAAGGGAAAACCAGAAATTGGTTTGGTACTGCTATGCCCTCTAGTGACTCAAAATACTCCACTGTTTCTGAATCTGGCTTGAAATTACAAGGCTGACACTCCTAGTGATTTATGCAGGGCAGCTTAATTAAGTACAGCATAAAACTAAGCCAGTACAAGCTAGCAAACAAAAAGTAAGGACTTTAACAAATAATAGGGAAGTAGCAACTTAAATTTTATTACATGCTTGCAAAACGAGTATGTCTTGGAGAATATAGTGTAACAAGTTAAGAAATTTCTACATTAAATCAAAAGATAAAAGGATGATGTCTTACTATATGAGATCTCTGTCATAAAGACAAAAGGACACACTCTTCTTTCAGCATGTCCATTTGCTTCCTATGCTAGCACATTGGAAGGACTGACAATCTGTAGCAGGTATCTGTACCCAGTCTTTACTTCTGTTCCTGCAGATGTCACATGGAGAGATATTAGGCATCACTGTGTCTTTAAAACCTGTGTGGTGACCCACTGATGTTGATTTGTAGGATCCTGCTGTGTAAAGACCTAGTTTCTGCAGGGGACACATTCTACCCGCAATAGCTGGTTATAGAGCGGATAATAAATGGAATAGGTAGGGAACGAGGGTACACATTAATGGACAGAACACAGGTGATATTAAGTGATCAATAAAAACTGTTCAGTGCTTGGAGAATTTACCAAGGTCAGACACATCAAGCTTCTCTGTGACTAGGATGTTGACAATAACACAGTACTTTACCATTGATAAGCCATGTATGTCAAAGCAGTATCATTGATTATTTTTATTGTACAACTAACCAGAAAATTCTCAGATAATAAGAACAAGGGAAAAGATCAGAGACCCCATAACATTGTGATTAAGTGTCAAATGCTCTCTATGAAGAAAAAAATGTGCTAAGTGAAGCCACTAAGAACATATAACACAGATTTATTATTTCAGTCACACTGCTAACTTACTTTAGGCTAGAGCATTAAAGAAAGAATGTAATCCATAACATTATCTGAGCTAAATACTATTGTTAGATGAATACAAGTCTTCCTTTAAAGACTCCTGTTATTATTGTGTTTAGCTTTGTATTATAGCATCCTATTAAATTAGGGTTTACCATCAGGACATATTTTCATACTGAAGGGGGGAAACACTTAAGGAGGAGTTGTATTAATTCTACAGTAATTTTTACAGGGACTTTAGCAAGGTCTGCACCTGTGCTACAGCCATTATAAGGAGCAGAGAGCTGTGTTTGCTACTTCACAAAAAGCTATTTTCACATTCAGTATATGTGTTTCCAAAGGGAAAAAAAAACACAATAGCAACAAGAGCCTGCCAAAAATTTCCCTGAGCTCTATTCTGTTTTTTAAACTATAGAACATTCTTTCACAGTTTGACAGTTAAAATGCTGCAGTTAATGTAATAAACAGAGAATTTTTTAAGTTGGCTGTCAAAACAAGTGACACTTTTTGTTAGAGATTTTCAGATTTTGAACAATAGAAAGTACCTTTCAAAGCAACAGCTTCATTATACAATCAAATTCTCAAAGTAATCTTCTCATCAAAGAATATTGTCTTATTTCTTTCAGGGTAATTATCTGAGTTCTGCAACCTCTCTGGAAATGGTTACTGTTATAAAATGCAGCTGTGTTGGTTTGAAAATTGTGGGTCCTGCTCTGGTCATCTAGAGTCAGCATCTCTGAAGCCTTGACAATTCCTTTGAACATTTGGCAGCTGTAACAGTGTCTAGTCAAAACTAGCAGGACTCTGAGGATTCACGGAGATTTTAACAGCTTTGCTACAGCTCAGTCCAGGGAGGATTTTCAACTAACAAAATCATTACATATGTAAACTGATTACTAGAACAATAGTTAATATGGTCCCTGGCAGTACAAGGTTACTTCAGTGAGCAAAGGGCTGCAAAAATAAGCACTTTCAGGGATAGGGAAAGATGTCAGATGAACATTAGTCTTGAGAAAACCTCTTTCTCCTCACTATATTCCATGAAAAATCTCCTATTAGTATTCTTTCAGTTGATGCTGTGCAAGTGACAATACAGAGAGAAGAGCAGTACTTTCCATAGCATCCTTCCAGCCTTTCAGCACTCTGTAAGCAGTCCAGATGATAATCAATATTTATCCTGCTAGTGTAAACTTACACTCACTGTTCTGGAAGTCATGACAGAAAGCAAATGTAGTGGGCAGCCAAAGCCCACAATAAGTGAAAGGGAAATTCTCCAAGAGATGACCTGCTCAGCTGTCCTGAGGCACAGGACAGAGTGCAGAGAAGCAGGGTCCCAGCACACACAGCATTGCTCAGACTCCAATGACTGGTGTCTGCTCAGAGGTGCAAAAGCTCACATTTTCTGCTCAGTGGAAAGGGCACAGAACATGTCTGTGAGGGTACAAGACCTCAATTCCATGACTCCCTAAGGGTGTATGGAAACACTCTGCTCTCACTCTGGCTTGTCCATGTATTTTGTGTGACAGGGACCAAGTGCTCCTTTGGTTGTATTGACTAGATCTCTAATAAGGAGAAGAAATAAAATGTATACCTCAAACCTATTGCTGCATGACAGTGTTTCCTGTTTTTATAAGCACAAGTATTTGATGGCACTTTTTGAAATTCAATGCCTTTAGCAAGTTTTTGGAAAAGTGCTGTTGAAATGAGCTTGTGATCTAAACAGGAAGGGAGTCTGGAAAGGATACAGATGGAAACGGAACAGGAACAGCGCCTGGGTTAGGTGACACAAAAATCTTTTACTATGAAAAATGTTCTCACACTGTAAGCAGTGCCTACTCCTCACCCATAGCAAACACAAACTTTGCCAATGGCCTCAATGTAGCAGGATCCAGCCTTGTGTACTTGCCTGTCTTGAATGGCCCCTTACAAGAAAATCTTCAGTGAAGGTGAGTTTAAGTTATTCCTTATTCTCAGTGCATTTCAGTAAAATATGTCTGCCATGGCCACTAAACCCTACCTGCTTAATGCTTGCCTTCAAGGGAGGGTCAAACAGAGTTTATACTGGCTTTGAAGTCACTATAAAGCTGTCTGAAAAAAAGGCTGATAATCAATGTAGGTTTCTCTTGTTTCCATGTCCCAAGGAAGACCCATAATATTAACTCATTATTCTGCTTACGGTTTCCTGAGAATCATCCTCATATGAGCATCTGGCCCAATCTGAGAGAGAAGCAGCATAGTATCCTGTAGCTCCTCATCACACTCCTTTTTCTCCTCCTCAGTTGGCAAAGGGGCATCTTCACGCTCATCATCCAAAAATCGATAAAATAAGTATTTGTCTTGAAAGTGGTGTTCCTGGTCCACTGAAAACAACACAACACATCAAATACTGAATGCTCCTCAAAGAAACAAACCTTGTAGAAATCTGTGTAGTATTGTGTTTGTTACAGATAGATTATTTAAGAAGGGAAAGAAAGCTACAGAAAAACTCTAAGAGCATGAAAATATTTCTCATGTATGTAGCTTGAAGGGTATACTTTTAAATTGTGTACTACAAATACCATCCAAAAGGCTTCCATATAGGTGTGTTGTGGGTGTGTATAAATACATGCATACACATGTATATGTTTTTTTATTAGTTCTGTTTTCTTATTGTTTGAAACTATTTCATTTAATCAAACAAATTACACTGGGGAAAGTGGTTATACTATGAATTTCTAAAAGGTATTCTCTAGCACAAACACTTTGCTCTACGTACTTAGACAAGCTGAAAAAAGGTAGCAAAAGCAACTAAATTCCTTGTGAAGTAGTAGAAATGTCTGTCATCAAGGTGTAATCCCAGGGGCAAGTGCATTGACCTGTGTCCTGGGGAAATAACTTAATGGATGAACTGCCAAGAGAAGACCTCTAAAGTAACATTATGATATTGCAAACCCCTGGTCTTCCAAGTAAGTCAGAGTGATGTGTTGAGTTGGATACTGTGATGCAGCTTGCACTAGCTTTCCCCAGAGAGTTCAAGGGAATATATGGCAGGAATTCAAGTTAGAGCCCTTAGGGTAAGGCAGCAGGGGAAACAATCTGCCTTCCCCCTGGCAGAAATGGAAATTTCTCCCTGGGATATGGGAAGCACAACAGATGATAAATGCAAGTTTACTATAATAGAGCTGCTCTTCTACATTCAATAAAAATGTACATACAAAGCTTCAAATATGAATATTGCTTTAGAAACGTACCCTTTCTGAGGGTTGTAATATCCTGTTACCAACTAAATCCCAACAAATGGAAACTGAAAGTCAATGTAAAATGCAATCAGAAAGCTAATATAAAATCACAGATTTCTGCACTGGAATATCTGGTGTGCTGAATTTAGGAACCCCTCCAAAACCAATGGAAATCATTCCAAAATTATGAATCTGAGCAAACACAAACACTCACATTCACTTCAAAATACTACAAATCTTTGATGAAGGTTAGTTTAATGCATGGTAATAAATCCCTTGGTTTTGCCCTGAGTGCTACCCAGTTCTAACAATATAAGCACAAGCCAGTATATTCCTAAGTATAATGAGACTATCATTATCAATTGTTCATTTATGATGCAATATGGTCATAAGTTTAAAAAGTATATTGGCAGCAAGATTCAAACAATACTGCCTGTGTGTTGCTCTCGTACCTGTGAATGAACAGGCTGCTCTGTGGCATTTATTTTAGGCTCATGATCCCTTTCTTTTTCATGAAGAAGAATACAAAGGTGTTGATGTCACACACTGCCCATATTTTAGTCAAGATACTGATTTTCTTTATCTTACCATGGTTAAGAACACCTTCTTCCAGCAGTACTTGCCACATGCCAACAGCCTGGGTTCGTAAATGGACACAAGGACTTTGTTGCATCATCCAGTCAACTAGCTCTGTCCCCACACAGCATTGCCTAAAGGACAGATAAACAGACAGGAATGAAAAGGAAGCCTGCCAAGAGAGAGACTGCACACAGTGACTGCCAACAACACTGATATCCTAAACTCTGTACAGACTTAGGTAAATCTCCCTGCAGAAAACCCCATGTCACCATCTACATACACATCTTGAAACACCAGTGAAGGTGGCCAGTTTTAAGAAGATCACCTTAGCAAAAAAGTGTTTTGGGAAATGCAGAGTTCAGAGGATCTATTCAAGCCTGTGACACCTGGTACAAAACCTATAGCACCAGTGCAATAACCTCCAACCCAGTTTTCAAAAGAAACATCTGTATACCATGGGATACCAAAAGCCTCATGCTTTTCAGAATCTTGCATGAAAACAGAAATTTAATACTGTAAAAGTTATGCCTATGCAGCCTCCACAGGAAGAGCGAGTGCTATGAGGGTGTTCCTGCATTTGTAATCAAACTTCTGTCACACTGTATTTGGAGACACTGGTTTTGGTACAGTGTTCTGAGGCTCTCTCATGCCAGGTCTTGGTAACCTTGCACCTCCTGACTGACCCAGAGGCAGAGAGCAGGTCTCAAGTTCTGGAGAACAGCCAAAAAGGATTAAAAAAGCAAAAAGCCACATGGTCACTTAGTAAAATTCCTTATCCTTACACTCCCTAACTCAGCAGAACAGTAAGAGTTTTCCCAGTTCTGTGTAAGAGAAAATGGTGCAGTTGTTTGACCAGCACTGCTCTTCATTTATCATATATGCTCTTCTGTTATTCTAGACCAATCAGCAATGTCATATTGTGACATATTCTTGAATCAACTCACGTGTGCCAAATACCTTTGTATTTTAAATATATTTTGGGCTGAAATATGGAAAATTAATGCATTTATTTCAAATAAAGATCAGCAACATATTGATTTACTATTTAGAAAAAGACACACTCAGAGATTTAAAAATAATTTTTACTTAAAAACACTCTGAATAATGAATTAGGTATTTGATTTAAACATTAGACACTAAACAAACTGACTGTTTCTTAAGCCAGTAGTAGGTAGATCCTGACACCTTGCAGGCAGATTTCTTTCTACAAGTGCCATTGTTATCCCACTTCAGCAAGACTGTACTGCCACCAGCAGGAAGACAAGAGAGTCTGACAATACACTGGAAAAAAATTAAATAGAACAGCAAATCTGCATCAGGAATATTTCTCACCAGGTGAATTTTCAGAACACCACAGTGAGCAAGACTGCTGTAGCAATCAGTACAGGAACATTAATATATTAATAAAGTTTTCTATTATCTCTTACTGATATACAAAGAGAACAGAATCTTCATCTTAACTTGGTACTACACATATTATTCCAGCTAACTACACTATTAGCTATGCTTTGGAAGAGTGTTTGTATGTGAACATTCTGTTCACAATCACAGACTCAATTTCCAGTCAAATTACTTCAGAAAGGATTTACCAGGCCCATTAAAGACTGCATAACATCCAACTCAAATAGCATCACAGAATAATTTCAGACCTTTTGACACCTGCAAGTATGGTAAGGCATACATGACAAATCAGAGAATGGCAGGCATAAAAATTCAGAGACCTCCATACAATCAGCTCACACACCTGTAAGTCTTCAGATGGTACTTGCGATCTCTTATCATGTGAGGAGCTCGGGACAGAATTGTATTTCGCAAAATCTTTCCAGCTCTAAGGATCTTTTCTGAGGGAACCTTGGTGATCATGGAGAAAAAGAAAGACCAAGAAACACGGATTTTAAACTTTCTGGAATCTCTGTACTGCTTTCTGCAAAACAAAACACAAATGCTCTTTCCTGAATTAAAAATCCTCTTTCACAGAAGCTTACTTTTCAGAGCAATGTAGTATATATTTGGGATTTTAAATTTCACATACTTCTCACATCTAACAGAAAGCATCACTTCAGCTGATTCATATTACACTGTTATAAATAGTTATTTCTATTTGTCTAATGGCCTGGCTCTACAGCACACCTGTGTTCTATTACCTGTGTAATGGTTTTAGTAGGATGATGTGGGATGTGAGGATCAATAAGAGGTGTCTGAAAAATAAAATGAAATTAAATAAATTTTTTAAGGTTGACCAGAAAAATAAAGACTAAAGTAAAAAAAAATTAACAAAAAAGCTGTAATAACAAAGAATAATGTGGAAGTCCAAGTTCTGCCCAGGACATAGGAATATATAAAAAGCTTCTGAACACATCCTCCTAAAGGCAAACTTGGTTGTTGAGGCTCAGCAAATTAAAACAGTGACATGACATGTGAAGATGAATAACAAATCTGTGCTAAACTTTGTAAAGTACTAATGAAATGGGCAATGGCTGAACGTCACACCAGATCTGAGCACACACAGGCACAGTTACCTCTTTGCCCCGTACAACAGCGCTCCCGCACACGCATCTGCTCTGCCATTCGGCCCCCCACCACAGAAATTCTCTCCTCCTTCAGCACCTTTTTCTATTCAGCTCTTTTCTCCCTTACAGCACAGCACAAGAAACAGGAATGGAGATAGAGATCTTCTTCCTCTGTGTTTTCTAAATTATCACCAGGCTGAGCTGGCAACCCTTTTATAGCCGCTCTCTGAAATGCAGAGGCAGGCAGGCCGCTCACAGGGACCCAGGCAAGGACTGGGGCTGGCGAAGAAAAAAGGAAAGAACAAAGCAAGTGGCTTGGTTCTCCAAAGGGAGGAGTGAAAGGAAAGACCATCGGGGCTCTACAGGGGAGAAGGGGATGAGAGAAAGGGGAAAACAGGCACATAACAAACAGGTGAAAGAGGGAGACAGGGAGCACATGGCACAACACAGAGGGAAAAGGAAAGCGGAAGGTTAAAGGACAGTAGAAATGGAGACAAAGGAGAGCAAGAGCGAACTTCAGCAGCCATGTGAGGATGATGGGCAGACCTTTGGCTTGTAGGGCCTGGTACTTACAGCATGGACCAAATTCACTTTGAGTATGCAATGTCAGGACACGACTCAAGGGCTGGCTTTGGCCGGTGCTCAGGGCTGGCTGACAGCAGATCAGGCTGAGCAGAGCTCTCCCTCAAGGGCAAGACCCTGCACCTTGGCCCATGGCAGCCGCGGTGCCCTCGCAGCCCTGCGGCAAAGCCAAGGCAGCCAGGCCAGAAGTCACTGAAACACACACCAGGTACTTCTGGGCTGAGGAACTGGTTTCCTTACACTGGGCATCTGTCCATTAGCTGCCATGGGATTTTAATGATGTGACACAGTCCTTGTAGTTATCAAACAGGGCTAAGAGCTGAAAATGCAGCAGGAAACTGTGGTGGGAAGGGGAAAATGAAGGAAGCATATGACAGAAATCAGTAATCTTAATATAGAGGCCCGTATATGGAAACCAATACAAAGTTCTTGTTTCTATTCATATCTTAAAAGAAATCTCTGAAAAGGCATATCAATACAATTAAAATGGGATTTCTGATTTTTCTCATTTAAGAAGTCAACAATTTTTCATAAACTCATTTAAGTTCCAAACATTTCTGTCCAACCAGAAGAGCAGTAGCACATCCCTCAATATTTCTTGGTTTCTAGAACTGTGTGGAATCTGCTCTAGATAGTCTATATTTGCAGTTAACATAGGCAAAGAATAGCAAAAATCTTTTCAAAGATGCCTCTAATGAAAACAAAACCATAGAATAACAATCTCAAACAGGTACAATATCCTCAATCTAGCTTCCAGATTTTAATTCTAGTTAGGAATATACTTAGAGGAGAGATAAAATATGTAAGACAAAAAATATAGGAGATTTTTAGAGCAACAGACTAGCAAAACAAATGCACATTTTTGTTCTTTGGAGTTTCAATTAAGTTTTAGCAAAAATGCATAAACTAACAGGTGAAAAATTTACCATGGATGAAGATTTTTTAATAAATCTCCTAACTTAATCAAAACAGAATATAAGACAGCATTTGGAAGAAATCTGATTCAACCCAAAAAGGTGAAAGCTAAGACACAGCACAAGAATCTCCAGAAAGCAGCAGGAAGGCTTGTTCACCTACATCCTGACCAATACAGAAGGATCAGCTGCAAAGATTGAACATAACTTGGGTGAAGGTGATCATGAAATGATCCAGTGTCAGAACTTTACAGAAGGAAGAAAGAGCATCAAAGCAGACACAATGGACTAGGAAGAAAAGTTTCCATAAAAACAGAATACTGATACCTATATTCCTGGAGTGGGTCATGGGGGAACAAGTGTGAAGTAAAAGGGATTAATGGGAGCTGGCAGTTACCTAAAGAAACCATATTAATCATACATACAATACATACTGGAACTTAACTAGAAGGTGAAGTAAAGACTTAGCTAAAGAAAGAGCTCTTCACTGACACACAAGAAAGAAATACACAGAAAGGAGAGAGTAGGGGGTCTAAAGCAAGTATAAATTGAATAACAAAAGACAGAATTAGAAAAGCAAAGGTATAAAATGAAACAGACCTGCCAAGAAATGTCAAGAGGTACAAAAATATTCCACAAGTACATTAGTAGTAAAACAAAGAAAACAAATAGTGTTGAGCTACTGTATAAAAGAGGGAAATCTATTAACAGGTGGTTCAGGAAGGCCAGAAACTTTTGATTTCTTTTTAATCAACGTTCATTAGAAAGATCAATGGCAGAGAGATGGTTAATATCCTGAGTAGTAGAGTGACAGGAGTAAAATCTCAACCTTGAAAAAAAAACCCAAAACCATAAATTAGTTGTTTTCAGATTGGCTTTGTAGAATTACATGCAGGAAACTTGAAGAGCATGAAGAAACTTAAAGAGGGTTGCAACCATCTCGAAACCATCAGCAGCCACTCTTGGGGTCTAAGGAAGGCAGCTGAAGACAGAAATATGGAAAAGGAGAAGCTGAAAAAATACAGATGTCAGCCCTAAGTCTTCCTAGAAAAAGTCAATTTGTAAGCACCTGGAAAAGAACAGGGAGATGAGTCACATGTGACGTATATTAACCAAGAACAGATCATGCCACACTGATCTAATTTCTTTTCATGATCGAGCAGCAACATTGATAGATTAGACAAGAAACAGCAGATTTTCAACCCTTTAGTAAGGCTTAGCACTTTCTCATCAGATATTCTCTTCTGCAACAGTCAGAATAAATTCTTACAAAACAGGTGCAAAGTCAGTTGGAAAAGTGCATTTGGAAATCAATTACCAGTGAAGCAAAGTCAAACTGGCAGTCATACCAGAGGTCTGTTCAAAGCAGCATTCAAGAATATATCACATCTGATAACATTAAATATTAACATGGGATGAAGTAGAATACACCTTTATTGATTCTGCAGGAAACTTCAGGATGGGAGGCATTGCACATACATTGCAGAAGAGGTTTACAATATGAAACTGTTGAAAAATTGGTCTAAAAATGATGCTTTTATGCAATACAGAGTGATGACTACATTTCTGAAGCAGGTGGAATCAGCTAAATAAAGACAGGATAGGGAACAAGTGTCTTAGTGCAGTACCACTTAAAAGGAAAAAAGGTTTATAATGTTTTAAATATTTAAATATTAAACACAACTGAATAACTAATGCCATACTTGTGTAAAAGCAGCAAATACTATGGTGGAATGTAGTAATATATTAGATACATAATGATGTTCTGCTTTAGTCAGCCTAGGTAAGAAAAGCACTGTGTCTCATTTGCCCATTTTACTCCAAAAGCATCTAAACCAGTTGGACAGAATTTAAAGGAAAGCAACAAGAATAATCAGAAAGCACAACATAAATAATCAAAGCTGTTAAGCTAAGGAAAAGGTAAATCTTAGCAGAGGTGTGATTAAAAAAGTCTTCTGATTTAAAAGGCCTTTGAAAAGGAGAAAGAAGTGGCCTAGTCCATCATGCAGAGATCAGGGAATAATTTAAATTGCTCTAAGAAAGATTCAGTTTAGGCATTGCTGAAGCTTTCCTCGCAGCGCGGACAGTCAATTGCCAGAGAGGTCTGGTTCCTCCAGACCTCTTTGGGAGGATACACAAGAAATCTGTCAGGAGTGACACTGCTATAGTGTGCATGTGGCTTGGGGATGGACTCAATGCTTTCCTGAAGTAGTTTTTAGCCTCACTACCTGGTACTGTGCAATTTGTGAGGACAGAGGTGATCAGTGATAGAGCTCCCGGGGCAGTGAGCCCGGACAATCATTGCTCCTGAGGGACAATGACATCCAAAAGACATGCCCAGCAAAGAGCCCCCAAAGCTACAGCCTTTCAGAACTGCTGCAGTGAGCTCTAGCTGCACTAGTGACTAGCTGAACTGCAATAAATGGAAACACAGGGTCTTGGACTGAGTTTGCTACAGAAAGGCAAGACATATTTCAAAGGCAGAGAAATGTAACATCAGTTAGTTAATAGGAGATAACAGGGTTCCAGCAACAACTTCCCATCAGAAAAAAAAATGCATTCTGTAAGGGACAGACACAGATTGGCTAAAGACCAAGATTGTTTTGTGAATCTTTAAAATCCTGGATCTTTCATTAAGGATTGCTTAGAAAGTACTTTAGAGAAAAAAAAAAAAAGAGCTCTCCCTTTAAAACAGCAGAGTGTGAGGAGAGTGTTTAATTGACTTCTTAACACGTCCTGGTACCTTTGAAGAATTAATGAGACTAAAGTACATACATGTGGAACAGAGGTCCTTGATGATCCCATTTTTCAGGACTTCTGAATAAGGGAAAAGTTATCAGGCAAAGAGCTCAGATAAGCAAGCCAATTACAATAGTTTACAAACTATTATTCACCTCCTGGCCACAGGAGTGACCAGTGTAACTGCTCTTAGCCTTCCTTCAGTGTGAGATAAAGCAACACAGCAACACCACACACAGTTTGCTATGACCTGCTGATCTTCCCTGTAGGGCAAGAGGTCATATGGGTCTAGAGGGTGGAGAAGGGAAAGCTGCTGGTGTTGGTAGGGGAAAGCAGAAAATTATTATGAGAAACTGGTAAAAAGGCTTTTAGCATTAACATTGAAAAACTCCTTATCTGTACATTTATGGATTCACATTTGAGCCATTCAAACAAACCCTTCACAAAGCCAAT